CGCCTCCAAAAGCGAATCCATTCAAGGTTAAAAGCGTCAAGGCAAACATTTTGGCAGCGTCAAAAGGCAAGCAAGGTATCAGGGGCCCGAAAATACAGTGAGCGGTCGACAAGAACCCCTTCTTTGAAACCTGTCCTTTTCAGAGTTCTTTTAATTGACGTAGCTAATAAAAATTTAGGATAAATCGCAATATAAATAGTTAATAAATTAAACAATTGTTTTCCATTAGTTTCAACTTTAAGTGTCCTCCACTGAAATTGGGTTTTTTTTTTTAATTTTTTCTCTAATTTCAATAGAGTTTTTAAGATGTTATTTTGCTCAAAAGCTTACATACGAGAATTCATGTCCTGTGAATTTAATTATACTAATATTTTTATGTGATAGCTTACTCATATTTTTTTAATCCTTTTTTTTTAGTTTATTAACCCAATACATTTGGTGGTTCTAGGTTCCATTGAAGTTATTGAAGCCATTAAGCTTAGTTCCCAAGAGTTAAAAGGAATTCTATACCATTTTCCATTCTTCTGGAAGGGTTCTACGGGTTACATTTCCCCTAGTTGGTTTTACTCCACCTTCGCGGCGACCCAGTGAAACCGTCGCCAGTGTGAATTATTTTTGGCAAAAGAAGGCGTGGTCCATCGAGTCCAAACGCCTTCGCACAAAGTAACAAACGCGTCATAATTTCTTCTCGCCTTTACCGCATTTTTCCCCCACTTTTCTCTTTTAATTTGTTTTTGCTATTTGCCGGCTATTTTCGCGTGCCTCTCAGAAGTATTTTTAGTGGATTTTATTTATTGATACACGCGTCCCACACAACGAAAGAATTTTTTATCAAATCGTATAAATGACATTTGCATGTTGATTCTTATTACATTATTTACTTGCCCTTGTTTTAACTTATCCAAGTTTATCCTAGATTTTAGCTGTTGTCATTAAACCAAATTCCTCACTCAATACGGAGAGGGCTATTTAATACACGTTTACCAGTTATGGTGATTATCTACTGATCTACCCGATTCCGATTTGTAAAAACTATCAGCTAAAGAAGTTCTTAGTCATTTCTATATATTCTCTCTTCTCTTTACACACACACACACACGATTGTATTAAATTCAGCAACAAAGAACCCAATCATAATCTTATCGTCCGTATGCCTCAGTATAAGTGTATGTATTAGAGTTTAAAATCTTTCGTTTCGAAACAGTTTGAAACAAAAGCAAGAACAATAAGCCATATTCAGTTCGATTGTATCAGTAGATAGCGAACCGTGTTCATAGATTACTTTATAGGGAATTGGTTGGTTCTTATTTGAGTGAACCGGGATTTAAATCTCAAAGATACAAATAAGTGAAAACATGGAAACAAAACGCATTTTATATGAAATACTTCGTTCATAAACTTACTTTGTTAAGTTGTCAATGTGCTGCCGTTGTATGCGGTACGTGACACACTTAAGAAAAACCAAAAAAATATTCTGGGCAGAATTTTTCTATATGGGCGTATGCCATATTTTTTTTATTTTTTCTGTTTTAGCTGCTGGCTAAAAAAATATAAATTTTAAATTTTCGACGTACACACAGTTTGGGAGAGCAACTCACGTGACGCACACAAATACACACACCCACACACACACAATTACGTAATGCTAATCAGCTGATTTTTCCAATATAAACGAGTTTATAATAGTAAACCAAATACATAAAATAAGTGAGTTAAGCCTCTCGAAAAAAAACCGAGCATAGTTGTAAAAAATGAGAGAAAAACGACAGCGCGGAAAATTCGCATTGATTTGGAGCCCGCTGCTGGTGGAATTGGACTGACAAACCCATCGGGAAAAGCTAAGAAAAATTGAGAAAGAGAGAGTAAGAAAACGCCAAAGAGAATGACAAAGAGCGAGCACAAGAGGGCGGTTGCAGGAACACAACCAGGAGCACCAAGGATGTCAACGTCGAAGTCAGCTGCGCAGCGACTGCGACGCAACGCAACTAGTGCTGCTGCTATCGTTAAACAACACTGCCAATTCCAAAACGCCAACTGCCATCGATTAACGATACCAAAACAGTGTCAACTCTGTTATTTCCCGCCAAAAATATGTGGAAAATTATAACACTAATTGACAATTAAAATTACTATTCCATTGTTTCCTTAAATCTTTTCTTAAATATTTTTTCAAGTCATCATCAAATCGAGATGGACAATAAATGGTTCTAACTTAAAATACCTCGTCATATAAATACTATAACAAATATTAATTTAGTTAACAATTTTAAAAAGGAATTGTGTATAATGGTCATAGCAGTGTTTCAAAGTTGGAAAGCACTTCTGAACATATTGACGTGACGAACGGATAATCGATAAGACTTTGGCGGCGTGCAAATTGTGTACAAAGTATCGGAATGTCACGCGCAGGCGAAGGACATCATACACACAATAATCGACTAACAGACAGACGTATATAAGTGTTGCCAACGAAACCAAAAACGAGAACAAACATGTGCTTGTATATGTGGCAAGGAAACAGCTGTGCAACGAAAGCACGACTTGAAAATCGTTTCTTTAACCGTTTTTTGTTTTCTGAATTTTTTTTTTTTTTTTGCTGGTGGCATTGCCAGGCGAGACACGTGCACAGGAAGTTGACAACTCTGGCATTAAATTGTGAATGTTTGCACGTGTGTGCGCGTCCCTGCAAAGTTTGTGGGCGGTAGTGTGTATGTGAGTGGGGATGTCATGCATAAGCCCCCTGTGTCTCTTCCTATCATCTCTGGAAACGAATTTGCTTTAACAAATCCAGTCAAATTGTCTAAGGGACTGAACGGATTGCAAATTTACTTTTCTAAACTTTTTTTATTAAACTATCGACCAGTTTTACCCTGGCCTCTTTTAGCTATAAAAAATAAGTTTCAGCAATCCTGGAAAACAGCAGTTTACTATACAACCTCAATTAGTTGAATGTCACTTTCTATCCAAACGTTGCACTTTGCAGTCAGAAAAATGTTATATTTATGTATGTATGTACAACCCGATACAAATCGAAACAAGACAACAACCACAATAAGACACAACGCGACACACAAAGAGTTTTCGCACCAATTTGGTTTTATTTAATTTAAATTCCTTTGACCGGCAGACTGTTAATTTTATGGAAACGTCGCCATAGACGCCGACTTTTTCAAGCATAGTGGGTCAAAATAAATGCAATACTAATTTTAAGATATTAAAAAGTAGATTAAAAATTTCATTATTTTGAGGAAACTATAGGCATGGAAAAGCGAAGATAATTAGTTCTTAGTGTTTCAAAAATATCAAAACGGTTCTTACGGAACTTTTTCTGTGCAATCAAAAATCGCGCTGGGTAACATCCCACTATTCAAGAACAGTGGCCGTACTTCTTTGACCGAGTCATATTTTATCTTTACTTTCTCATCCACTTTACCATTACTGTGTGGTGGCCACTTTTTGCAGCAGAAATTACAAAAATACAACTTTAACCATTAAACTTTTGTCTGACAAAATGCAAAATAAACAAATCTTTAGAATTGCACTTGCAGTCATTTCGAAAATTGTTTTGTATAAAATTTTTTAAGTAAAATATTTAAAATATATATTTAACATTTTATAAATAAATATATTTTACATAAAGTATAAAAATAAGAGCATAATAGTAAATAGATTTTTTACAATTTTTTTATATTAATTTTGATCTACTTACTTGCCATCAAGCTCCACTGCGCGCTGGCTGCTCGGTCGACGTCGACGCAGGCGTAGAGGCGCAGTTTCGCTGCAGTTTTGTTCGTTTTTCCTTTTCGCGTATGTATTTGTTTGCTTTTTGCAACAATTTCTTTCTTTTCTTGTTACTTTTGTTTTATTTGTTATTTATTTCGCTGGCTTGCAACACTCGAAAAAAATTTATTAGATTATTGAAGCACGCACACCCACACAGGCACACACGCAGAGAGAGACACGCGACAAACACACACAAGTACACGAACACACGTACACTTGTTCACCACAGCGGAGGTTCTGGGCAGCGATGTCGGCAGCGGGTGTGCTTGTGTAACGCAATTTCCTCGCCGTTCGAGGTGTGCGTGTGTGCAATAAACTACAAAATATAAATCGCAATTTTCCAGTATTCATTTGTAGGGAATTTTCATTATTTCTTTGGTAATTCAAACGCACACACCACACAAAAAAAGAAACACGCATGGGGTGAAAAAAAGAGGAACGCACACTCGCATACATACACATACATGTGTACACGTTCAGAGAGCGGCGCTTATTTATTTTCAAAAATTGTTAATGTAGATTGGTTTTTGTGTTTTTTGCTTTTATGTATACGCTGCTCTTGGTTTTTTCGACTGCTTTCTTTTACTCAACACACTCACAAACACGCTCTGCTGGTTTTTTTTTTCGTCTTTTGCTACACCTTGCTTCCGTATATATGTATATATGTACCTTTCACACTCGCACAAAAAAAGTGGGGGGCGACGAAAATGTGAAAAACTCCCGTATGTTGCGGCACTTTTTTATTCGCTGTGTTTCTATTTTGCACGATAACGTTTAAGCACTTTTTCTCCAGCTGCTTTTATTGCCAAATGGACATTATTTTACCTACAACGCGTGTGCGTTTTCAATATTTCGACTTTTATCGGTTTTTCTTCGGTTTTCTTTTGGCACTTTGCACTCTTGGCGTTCTCTCGCTCTCTCCGTCTCGCTCTATCTTACTCGTTGGTTTTTACTTATCGGTTATCGATTGTTGTTGGCAGAGGCCTCTGTTTTAGCGAGTGCACCCTCCATTTTTAGCGGGTACAGCCTCCCAATTCAAGATTTCAACCATCTCCCCACTTGCAAAAACCTACTTAATCAAGTTCGACATCTACTAAGTGTCAACCGTTATTTTTTTGTTTTTTATATTTTCTATTTTCAGGTGGGACGCATTATTGCACTATAATCAACCAAGAATTAAAGAAATATTTAATTTCGCAAAAAAAAAGTTTGAAAAATCGATCGGGAATACAATTTATTAGTTAGAACCATAAACAAGTTACTTTCACTTCCCATTAATAACAGATATTTACCATTGTATAACATATTGCCCTATAATTGATTTAATATTAAATATTGTATAACGTATGTATGCGTCGTAAAATCTTGGAAAAAGTTCAACATCTTATAAGTACGCGAAACAAAAAAGAATTACATCTTGGAAATACGGGTAAGGGGGAATACATATGGGTGCGGCACCGAAACAATAATACGTATAGGGTTACGAGTTATTTTCTGTAGCAGCTTGAAGTTCTGGGGATTTCTTAAGTGTCTTTTGGCCAACAACAACGAACAAGAGGCGCCACTAATTGGGGCTTAGTAGGGTATCTGATTCTGGTAGTACTGAATCATGTCGTAGGTACGTGTGCGGAAGTTTTGGTACGAATTCCGGATGACAGCCAGCATGTGGGCGGCTGCCTCCTTGTTATTCTTGGTGGCCACGAACCGCTGCTTCAACAGGTTAATTGTCTGTCCCCGGAAACAGGGCAGCCCGGTGTCCAGCATCAGGGACACCAACGAGACAATCGCGTCCTGGTACGGACGCACCGCAAGGAAGGCCTGCACGCACAGCTCGCAGAACCACTTGAAGGCCGGCGAGTCCATCTTGCCGCCCATAATCATGACCATTTCATCGGTTAGCTTCATATCGGGCTCGAAGCCGATATTGCCACCTGGCGAGGACTCGAACATAAAGCCAAAATCTGCAGATAGTTGGGTTTTAATATCATCATTACCATTTCTGTTACCTGGTTGTCTTAATCTTGGCCATTCTGCCACTCACCTATGTGAATGATGTGGCCATCCTTGTCGATCATGATGTTTCCGTTGTGACGATCCTTGATCTGCAGCAGATAGCCAATCAGCGAGTATGCGGCCATGGACTTCACAAAGTTGGCTCGCGCCGCCTGAAACTCCTTGGAGCTCTCGTCGCCGTACTGATGCTGGAAATACTCGGAGAGGCCGCTGTCCGTCTGTCGGCCGAGCTGATCCCTCGACTTGGCATTCGGCACGCACTCGATCACGCCGCACTGCAATTCGTTAAGCGACAGCAGAAGTTTTGAACGAGATCCAGGAGAAAACGGTGTCGAAATAAACTCACCCCTGGAGCGGTGGCCACCACGCGGTAGGGGAACAGAAACAGATCGAGTCCCACTTGCTGGAAGATGCTCTTGAAGATAGTAATCACCTGCAGGGCCAGCATGTCCTGGCGCACGTCGTCGCCCACCTTGAATATGGCCGCCTGCCACGACTCCACGCCCAGCGTCATTTTCGCATCCTCCTGGGAATTCTGTGCGGAAACACATACTATCTAGTTTAAGAGAAGTTCCCAGAAGTGGAAGAGCCCAAGAACTCACCGGATTATTGGAAACCTCCATGGCGCGCGTCTCCAACTCCGTGATGCCGCATCTGTACACCCGGAACCTGGCCAAGTACGGCGCCTTGGCCGCACTCTGCATGGGCGTGCCGCTGCTGTAGTCGATGTCCAGCACCATGGCCTCCGGATTGGAGGGCAAATAGCAGCCGCTCTGCACCTTGATCCGGCTGAGCGCCGCCAGACAGGCGTTCTTTCGCTCAATGCCCTTGGCGAACGAGCGAATCTCACCGGACACGGCCGTTATCTTTCCAAAGAAGTCGAATTCCCGCTCGTAGAATCTCTTGGCAGCGCCCGAAAACGAAGCGATAATACTTTGCGACAGCTGATCGAGCGCCTCGTACAGATTGGGATCCCTGTGCTGCTGGTCCTCGTCCATGAACATGTTCGTCTGCATGTTCCAAATCAGCTGGTGGGCCACGATCTGCGATCTCCGCGAGATGTTCTTGATGAACTCCACCACGTAGCCCATGGTGTCGTGCCGGAGTGCCTGGACCAGTTGGGGAATATACGGCAGCACCGATTCCGCCGGGTACGAGGAGAGGGTCTTCACGGCGTACTGAGCGGTCAGGGGATGCGACGGGTATTGTCGCGAGAAGTACGCCAGCGCCTGGATGGGGGTCACCGGCGACCAGGACAGGATATACACAAGGTCCGGGCTCTCCTGCAGCAGGTTCTTGGTGGTGCAGAGGTATTTCAGCGCCTCGGGGATGTGGCACACCGCTATGGGATCGGAGCAGACCAGTCGCGACACCTCCTCGTCGATGATCTCGGCATTCTTGATCCGCTGCGGCAGGAAGACGGCCAGTGTGGGGTTGTAGCACCATGCGAGACGGGCGTAGTCCCGCCACACGTTCGGCTTGTACGGCCGGTTGCGCCACTCCGTGATCTGTTCCTCCCCTGAAAGCGAATTAGGAATGCCATTAAAGTCGAGCTACGAGATCGGAAAATAAAATTGGCTCACCTGGCACTACGAGATCCGGCAGACTGTTGGGATTGTACCAGGTGATAAGGAACTCCAGCTCGACGGCCAGCAGCTCCAGGATCAGGTTGCGTTTCTTCATGTAATCCTTGTCGTACGAATCCTTCTGGTACTGCAGCCGCTTGGAGCGGTTCGATCGCTTCGACAAGGTGGACGTGGAGTGCGGGATGGTGTTGTACCAGCCACTGCTGCTGCCACCGCCCGCCGCACCCACCGCATTGCCACTGGCGCTCATGGAGCGCGTGTAGTCGTTGGCCAGGCCGCTGCCGCTGATCAGGGAAGCCGTCTCCGGATTGTTCCTCACGGCCAGCATTTGGGTAGAGCTCACCGAGGCGTTGGTAAGGTCGTAGTCCCCCACCTCTGAGGTGACCAGATGCTTTTTCTCGCTGCGCATCGTCTGCCAGAACTTCAGCAGTATCAATATGTCCTCCAGCAACTGCTCCCTGCTTTGGTTCGGGCACGTGGGCGGTCCGCAGAAGTAGTCCAGTGCATTGGAGTAGATCCGCTCTCGCAGGATGTTCCTCGCCAGCGACTTGGGTATGGTGTTGCCCTGGAGGAGCGACAGGCCGCATTGCAGCAGCTTGAAGCGACAGCCCACCGTGGACACCTGGCGGTTCTGCCTGCTGCTCTTGAGAATGGGAAGACATCGGTGCAGCAGCAGGCAGAACATCTCCACCTTGTCCCGGTTGCAGTACTTGGCAGTGTCCACCATTTCGGAGAGCAGCTGCAGCCAAATCAGGTGCGGGGCTATCAGTATGGGCTTGCTGACCAGCTTGCAGCCCTCGTAGGCGGCCAGGGGATTCGTGACCTCCGTTTCCCAGGCGAACAGCCCCATCCGCTTCTCGAAGGTCGTCTGCCAGGCGCTGACCATCTCCTGGATGAAGCACAGCTCGAGATCCTGCCGGGCCGTCAGCACCCATTGCCAGCACTCGACGGCGGTCTCCATCGCCGACTCGGTGAACAGCTCCAGCTGCGAACTGGCCACCGCGTGCAGCAGCTTCCTGTCGATCTCCGAGCAGATGATCAGGTAGGCTGTGGCCCGCCACAGAGCTCCACGGTGCCGGGCATCGCTCTTCTCGGCGCAGGCCTCCCACACATCGCTGACCAACCGCTCCGCCAGCCCGGCCTTGTCCTTCTCACTGAGCACGGACAGCAGACCGCTGATCTCGCCGGCGTACTTGCTCCGCAGGCACAGCACCGACACGAACCGAGGCGTGTCGGAGTTGACGCAACTCGGCCGCTTGCTCATGGTTCCCGTGTGCAAGGCACTGCTGCTGACCACCGAGTCGAAGGCCAGGGCCAGCCCGCTGTGGTGGGCCAGGACGGGCGTGGGTATCTGGTTGGGGTACTCCTGCAGGTGCGAGCGCGTGGACCGCGGCGCCCACTTCATGGCCTCGTTGACGATGCCCTGACACCGGTCGGCGAAGTCCTTGAGGCGCAGCTCCCTCGCCGGCAGCGAATCCATCAGCTGCAGGGTGTACGGAGTGGAAACCACCCGCAACGTGGGCGTCTCCTCGTTCGGATCGAGGCTCAGGGAGTACGCCAGCAGCTGGAGGATGTCCAGCATGCACCAGAGCACCCGGCGGTTCCACAGCAGATGGGGAAAACGGTCGACGAGGAAGGACAGGTACTGATCGGCCACCACCTGGATGGGCTTGTGGATGTGGTTGAAGTAGACCAGCAGCAGGGTGGCCTGCGATTCCAGCACCTTTTCGCGGATTTCGTCGTGCGCATACAGGACGTTGCGGAACTTCTCGAAGACCTGGTCTGCAACGCTGGAGCGAAAGTAAGAGGAAGTTACAGATAGATAAGGTATTCCAGCGCTAGACTAAGAGCAAGTAAGCCCACCATTTGACGCACTGCCAGATGCCCGTCTTGTCCCTTTGGAGCGCCGTGTCGCAGAGGTAGCTCATGATCGGCTCCAGACTGGGCTCGTCCGCGTTCTCCACGCGCAGCATCTCCAGCCAGTAGACACTCAGCAGGTAGGTGCACTGGGCAAAGGACAGCTTGTTGATGGCCGTCGCCACGTTGTCCGAGGAGTGCTCCAGGAGCACCAGGATCTGGCTGCGCAGCTCGTTCACCGAATCGCTCTTGATGGCCAGGGTGTAGTTGAGCTCCCGCATGTCCGATTTGTGGGCGGTCTGCGAGATGAGCAGCGGCGACTTGGCGGCAATCTGCTGGACTCCCTGGTACCAATCCGCCGGCCAGAGGCGGGCATTTGTGAAGCCCATTACGACACAGTAGGCCCAGAAGTCCTTGAAGAGCTTGTGCAGCCGCTGGCGGGGATTCTTGATCGGTGGCAGGCGGCGCACCAGTACCGCAATCACCGGTATCAGCATGCCCAGATTGCCAGCGCGTGAGCTGGCCTTCTGGGCGCCCGGCGTGTTGTCGTAGCTGCGCTCGCCATCCAAACCGATCTGCACGAAGAGCTCCAGCAGCTTGCCAAGCAGCTCCAGCATCTCGGAGTCGCCCTGGATGTTGGCTGCTATGTTGCCCAGCGCGTTGACCACCGCGTCCGAGACGTGGTGAAACTGTTTCCGGTGCTCCGGGTCCGAAGTGTAGGCCAGGGAGGCCGACTGCACCGTGACGCGGGAGAACATCTTCATGATCTCGTCGAAGACATGGGTCTCGCACTGCGATATAATCATGCAGCCCAGCTGATCCACTATCAGGGCGTTCTGCTCCGAGGGCACCTTGCAGAACCGCTGGATGAAGAACTGCAAGATGTTCTGGGTGGTTTTCGAGGTGTCCTTCAGCGCGACGGCCACATGGCCCAGCATCACAATGATGTTCAGGCTCACCAGGTTCGATTTGTGGCACTCGCCCTGCGACTCACTGCAATTGGGAATGGAATGGGTTACACGTTGTACAAAGATATTCCCCCCAAATTCCCCTTGAGATGCTCATTGACCCACCTGCCTGACTTCTCGGCGGTGAACAGTCGGTTGGACACGTTGGCCACCAGGGCTGGGACACAGAACTGGTCCAGCGTGTGGGCAGCACGCAAGGCGATCGACAGATTCTCGATGGCCGCATCGCGCAGAGACTCGAACGCAGCATGACCACTCCTTCCGGCTCCGCTTCCCGTCTGCTTCTGGTTGTCCCCGTAGATCACAACGGCCGTCCGCGAGTCCGAGTGCTGGACCGCGATCTTGAACGGCGTCAGCTCCTTCTCCTTTTTCTGCTGGGCCAGCGTTTGCATGGCGTGGTCGTGAAGCTTGCCCAGAATCGGGCTGGGAGCCACAAGGAAATCGCGCAGATACGAGATCGAGGTGCAGGCAATGTTGGGAAACTTCTGGGCCAGCTTGCCCAGTCCCTCCAGGCAAACCATCAGCAGCGGCATGTGATCCATGACGATCTTGTGGCTGAGCTCCAAGTTCAGTTTCTGCGACAGCCGACCGCACAGCTTATCCGCCTCTGTTTTGGGTGATTTTCAGAGATTAGTGCGTACTTCATAGTGATACAGTCTAGCAGTTTGCAAACAAGGAAACAAGGAGCAACAAGGGAATGAGGAGGATGTGGATCTGTTGCAGCATGCAGCGAACGTAGGCCAGGCAATTAACAATAAACCACAAAACCAACTTGTAAAGTAATCAATTTAAGAGGGGAAACCACATTTGTGAGCAATTATATCAAAATACAGGTTTATCCTCGTTTTGTTTAACTAAATGACTATAATCAACCCAATGCAGCAACGATTTAAGAAATTTTGTTCAAAGCAAATTCAATAAGAAACGTCATATTTTTGTTAATGGTTTTCCCTATTTAACGATCAGTTTTGTGGGTATAAGAACTAGTTGGGATTACACTGCTGTTGACCTTTCTTCAATAAAAATTGTAAGCCATTCTGCAGGGATGGCACATTATAGTCGACATCAACTGAACCATATTCCGGGTTCCGGCCACCAAAAAACAAAAATTAAAAAAAAAACTATAAGAAACTAAAAGAAATTAAAGTAAGTAACTGAAAAATTATGAAAGAAAGAGAGAGGGAGCTGATAAACTAAACCATGTTGAACTCAAAGTAATTTTCTAGCAAAACCGCCTTCCCCACCACATCTTCCAATTTTTAATTGTGCAATATAAATTCTTACTATTTTTTTATACCCAGTTCCAAATAATGTGCTTGAATTTAAAATAAAAACAAACTAACGTATTGAACTTTCAATGATAGTTTGTTATAGTTTTCGTTATTATAATACATCAAAATAAAACCCTTGAATAAAGATGATATTAACATGATAAAATCAAAATCAAATTCATTGAGTTTATACGTGTCTTTCCATCCCCCTCTAACTGGAAACCAAACTTCTTCCCTCTTTCTTTCTTTCCACATTTTTTGCAATAAATATACACATTTATGTAGCTGCTTAGATTGCCATTTTGCATTTGCATTAATGCCGTAGCGTTGAGCTGGAAGTCTAGATCGAGTTTTCCGCGCAGAGGATCTTCGCTTACCCGTTTCATCGCGAATGGCCCAAACCAGCAGATCGACACACGCCGCATTGGCCATCACATTGACCTTGTACTTGTTGACCACCGCGATGCCATTCTCCTCGCGTCGCTCCCGCTCCTGATCCTGCTGCTTGTTTTGCAGCTCCGTTTGCCCGTTGAGGAACAGTCGTTTGACGAACTCCTGCACATCCTTGGTGAACGGCGTGGGCAGGTCCACTTGATGCTGCAGCAATTCGCGCAGCAAGGTGACCAGAACCAGGTTCAGTGTTTCCGAGAAGCTCTTATAGCAATAGCCCTTTATCTGGTGCAGCGAAAAGATGTCGCTGGCTTGCTCATCCAGATGTTCCAGCGTGTCCTTGGTTAGCAGCTTCTTAGACACCGCGAATATGGTCTGCAGATGCTGAATGGGAAACGGTGGCACTCGATACAAGGGTCGCGGGCCTCCTTTCGTGGGCGATTCGCAGACGCGCATGTTCGGAAACTGGTTAAAGCTTGAGCCATATCGCGTGAAGAAGTGCGTCCGTGGGTCGTACGGCACAGAGAAGTAGCTGTGCAGAGAGGGCTTGCTGTGCTTTCCGCCCGTATACCGTTGTCTGGCATCGTCGTGGCTGAAGTTCTGGGCCTGGGCCAAACTGCCCGACATGGAGCGGGGTATTATGGGCCGGAAGTGATGCGTTGCCGCCAGTCGTTCGCTGCTGCTAAAGGAGCCGCCACAAGTTCCACTCGCACTGCTGTTGGATCCGGTGGCATCGCGGCCTCCGCCTCTCTGGATGGGGAGCAACTCTGGCGGGAAGATGCGGCACAACAGAGGAGGGTCGTTGCTGGCGTAGCGGCCCATCGAGCGAGCCAGGCCAAAGAGAAGCGGTACGGTGGCCTTGCACAGGATAATGGGAGGCGGCGCCGAACTGCTGTCTCTGCTCGACTTGACTATGTTTGCAAGAGCACCCAGCGTTTCCACCTGGTTTAGGATGATCTCCTCGCGGGAATCGGGGCATTTCGCTGCGATATCAGAAAGCAGGGTGTTCAGACAAAAGCTAAATTTCTCGGCCGAGGGAATGCGAACGCCTGCAATGGTAACTTGTATTAGCAATGTTGGTTTTTCTCCGTATTATATGCTTGCACTTACGCTCGACTTTGCTGCTCCGAGCATCGTCAATCCATACGGCCTTGGGCAGACATTTTGCCAGGCGGAGCAAGTAGGGCACAATCTGACCTTCGTGCTGGCAGCCACCCTCTAGATAGTAAATACCCAGGGCGATCACCGCATCCTGGGCCCGCGTGTCTAAACAAAACACTCCAGCGGCATTCTCCTGCGGACAATACCGGAACAGGGTCTGCACCTGTGAGCAGGAGACAATTAGAGGCCATAGGCATTAGTGGGGTCTTTCTAAGTAATTTCCCAAATGTCCATAGAAGTTCCAACTCAAAGAAACTGAAGTTTCCGAAACAAAAAATTTAATACACATTTTTTAAATTAAATTAAATTAATTTTTTTTATAATAGACATTAGCGTCAAATAACTTTGAATCACATTATGAAAGCATGTTATGCCTGGTATGAGAAGTATTTTTGAATTATCACGGTCCACATACGTACACCTCGGTTATTTTTGTTTTTGAGCGCAATTTATGAAGTAAGGATTATAAAAGTTTGATAGATAATAGAGCAGGTTACTGGCATTGCATCAGCATGAGTTTAATATCGTTTTTAGAAGCATAATTCCTCTAATTAGAAGCGTTTTGTGTGGGGTTTTTGCGAAATGGAGGGCCATCCCCACACCACCGCCCCTTGAGCACCCACGCATGTCTGTTCCTTGGTCGCTGCTCAAGGTCAGTGCGAAAAGTCGATGCCAGAGGGAACTTCTGGACAGGACCCAGGGCTAAATTAACAGAAGGATGTGTACCTTTTCCCAGGGAGTGGGCTGAATCCCAGCCAGAACGCGAGCCAAACACAAAACGGTTCGCTGGTACGTGTATTTATCCGAGGCAGTCATCGTCATCGCTCCCGGTTCCGCTCCCCACTAACTGGTGACCACCTGCTCCTCCGTTCGTTCGTTTTGATTCGATTGGTTGTCTCACGCAAATCAGCTAGGCGTTCGTCATTTTCGTAATTCGCACGCGAAAAATTAAATTAAATTATTTCCTTTTATTTTACTTTGCCTCCAGTGTGACCAGCGCTCACTACCAAAAAAATTCCGTGTCGCTTGAAAAAATACTAAAATAAGCTTTTTCTTGAACCATAACCATTTGAATTTTAGCAACAAAAATAACCGTCGAAGGCTTTTACCAAACGTTTCGCTTTATTTTTTATGTGTGGGAGAGAAAAGGAAATTTGGGAACTAGAAACTGCAAAAACCTTACTAAGTAGGCCCTGAAAAGCGTGCTACTTGATGTTTAAATAAGAAACAAATCCAGTTGATTTGAAGATCCCCAAGTATTGAAAGCAAAGAAAATTCAAAGACCCAACGAAATGAAGGCGAAACAAGCCCATAGGGCAATGTGCGCAATAACGCTCGGAATCATAACAGTCTGTATGATCGCAATCACCATATTTGCGGGATTCAAACACGAGGTGGTTAAGTTCAAAACCATGCTGGTCAGCATTGTAATAGCGCTGCTTTTCCAGTACCTAATCGGGGATCCCATAAAGTTTGTGATCCTTGCGATGGACCGGGCCCTCTGGCCGCCGAAACTTTACATACCGCCGCTTAGTGATAAGTCCTACAAGCACGACCGCCGAGATTTTCTGAAGCAACGCCTATTGAGCCAAAAATCCAACCTTATGATATCCTCGCAGTATAGGAACTGGAAGCTCAACGAGCAGTACAAGGTGATTGCCCATGACCTGTTTACCTATGGACAGTACTATCTCTGCCTAATGTGCTTAGTATTGGTTACTCGGGATGAAACCCTCTACCACAACACTCGAATTATTAAGGAGCTCTTCATGAACAACCACACGGACTACACGGGCCTGAAGGAGGTGTACTTTCTGAACCAGCTGTACGACTTTATTGAGTCCACTCTGGTGATTGCCTTTAATACGAATTTCAGTGGCGGGACCTCCACGGGATGGGCTCACGCGGAGCAAACGGTTCTCCTAGGAGTGATTCGCTTGCGCCAGCTGCGCGTGGTTAGTCCAGATATCGGCCTGAGCCGACCGGAGTTCTCGGAAATGTACTATATGCCCGATTGGCAGTTGCCATACCGGCGACTGTACTACGCGGATAAGTATTGGCGGATCTACGAGCCCTGGATCCCCATTAGGGTAAGCTTCGAGTTTTTGGATGGCCTGCTCATGAATTTCGATCATGTGGGCCGCCTCGCCAGTTATCCAGAGCTGTCGGGATACGTCAGCCTGCTGGCCAGAAGCACGGCAAACAGCATGAAGGTGGGTACATTGTTAATAAAAGGTGATTCATTTTTATTTAAACCTCCCAAACTCGAAGAGGGAACGGGGGAAAAAAAGCTTCCCTCAAGCTAGGCTTTAAATTTGTTGAATCATTTTTTAAATTCTTCACTTACGGTTTTTTAGGTCTTGGATTATCTTCACGAGTATCATTGGTTGACCTTAAACACCTCGGCGGTGTTTATAGACTTTACGCTGTATAACGTGGACGTCAATCTGTTTAGCATCTGCACTTTGCGGCTGGAGAAAACTCCCTTTGGTGGCACAGTTCCGGATGTTCAAGTGGAAAGCGCCAAGCTCCTGGAGGATGTGGATCAAATGCCGTACACCGGGCTACTAGCCCTGCTTATCTACGTGGTGGTTCTGATTCAGTTCTCCCAATCGCTGGCCCTGAAATTGTGGTACGAACCGCATTTGCTGAAGAGCATTTGGAACAGGTTGGATCTTTTCATCTGTTTGCTAAATGTGATGGTGGTTGTGCTGGTGGTGCTTCGCGAGGCCCTAGTGGCCAGTATGATGAAGAAGGTCGAGGGTGCCAGCAAAATGGAATTTATTGATTTCCGGCGTCCATCGCGGCTGCATCAATTGACCACGATTACCGTTGGTTTTCTAATATGCGTAACAACGCTGAGACTTTGGCGGGTAATGCAGTTCTCCAGTATCTTTGAACTCTTCACCAGGACGCTCTATTTGGCCTGGGCTGCGGTGGCCAGCACCGCCATTGCTATCATGATTTTCCTTATGGGCTTCTGCTTCGCCGTAGTAACCATAAATGGGAATAATAGTGACAACTTTACCAACTTCGTCAAGAGCATGGTAATGTGCATGTGCTTTTCATTCGGCTTTAGTGCCCAGGTGAAGCCATCGGAGTTATTCTACGGCGGAAAATGGCTGGGCATGTTTCTATATGGCGTTTTGGCCTTTGTTATTATCGTCCTCTTGATTAATGTATTTGTCTCCTTAATCAACGATTACTTTACTGTTGCCAAGACCATAAGAGACCATTCTGAGAAGGACCATCGGATCAATTTTTTCCAGTTTCTGCGCGTTGAGTTTTCAAGATACTTTACTTGCATCCATAGTTTACCCTGCTTTCGACGAGCGTACGTCCGAAATAAGCGCACAGTGGCACAGAATGTGAACCGGAAACTGAATGTGATGGACGCGAACAGGGCACTGCAACTTAGCAAACAAACAGGTGATAATCGGGTTGTCAAACGGCCATCTGATGAAGATGAAGAAGTCCAGTTGAAACATAAAGATCGTGGCGAAAGGATAATCAACGTTGGTAACATCCTAAACACTCAGTTTAAGTTGCTTAGCATGATCCTGTTTGAGGATTATGAAGAGGATAATTCTGATGAATCTGAAACAGATCCGGAAGCAGCTGGAGGATCACAAAAAAAAATAAGGAAGATCAACCTAAGAACGAAAATGAAGCACATGCCTAAAAATAAGACTTCAAATATAAAAATTTTTTTTTTTTTTTCAAAAAGTTAAACAATTTTTAAAATAACATATTTATGATCATCCAAGCAAAGCTTTTTTCCACTGGAAAAGAAGACCCCTGGCATCCTCAACATATATGGAATGAATTCATTTAGCAACTGTGTTAACTAACTTAGTCCTTAAATATATTTAGTCTTTGGCTCAAGCGTCGCATGGGCGGTGGTTTCGTCTTCGGTGGTGATTCCTTCCTTCCCTTTCTTATCTGAGTCCCTGCTGATTTTAGTGGTCTGCAGTGGTCTTTTTCGGATGTCGCTTACGCAGTGCATCCTTTGAATCCGTCTTGCCACCGCCTGGTTTCCTAATCAACACCAAATCATCGGCATCTGCGTCGCTAATTGTGTCCCCGCCCACGTCTACAATATCGGACTTATCACCTAAAGCAACCAAGTCGTCGTCGTCGTCCCGCAGGCTGCTCGTCTTGGAGCGGACTACGCCGGGTTCAAGCGATTTCGTGAGCCGGGCATATTTGATTTGCAGGCTGTGCAGCCAGCTGGCGTCGGACCAGTGGTACCAGCTGAGCAGAAAGACGACCAGTATAAAGAATAGATTGGTGCTAATGGCTGGAATGTAAAGAACAGGATTAGCGGGAATTCTCTGCCGCGGAACCGGTGGCAATGTGCCGACATACCCACTATGGCCGACAGCACGGGCCAGTTGAACATAATGTACCGCAGACCGGTAAAATCGGCCACAATGTGCAGAGTAACCGTGTAGAACTGGATCTTCTGTGACTGTATCTCCACGTAGACATCTGTGATTGGGTGCTGTCGCTCCTCCAGGTAACGTGAAAAAATCTCTACCGGGACATGCTGGAACTCCTCCTTCCAACCAAGCACGTATAGTGGGCTTAAGGCCCAAGTGGAAATCATGCGGATCAAAGGTGATCGGTATCGCATCATTGCCGATCGGCAGGAGTGACCCCTCAGCATCGAGTCGTAGTCTCTCATTTCAGCGCAGACCATAAACATGCCCAGCTCAAGGTTCTGCGGAGACTCCGGCATATCGATGTTAACAATTACCTTGTAAGCCTGGCCAACCATCAGGAGCTGTTGCTTCTTCGTCAGCGAGACGTGGGCATGGGGAAAGGTGCAGGGCGTGCTGGTCTCAAGACAGGTTCTGTGCAGGTCAGAAAAAGGTAATGTTAGTATCACCTAATTGTATATAATTGGGTACTAAGTCTAAAACCGTTGATCATGAGTCAAACAACTTGTAGATTATGGCTATATTTATGGACCTGGCAATAAAAGATAACCATGGTTTCAACATTGCAGCTTTTAATCTATATATCTATATTCAAGGCTTCAAGGCTGGGCAGTAATGGTGAACATTTAAGGATTGTACATTTCAATCGGGTTACGTGCCCTTTTGAGATCCTTTTCGTACTCACTTGAACTGCATGTGTACTGGTCGGGTGTGTGATATGGCCGGCATGTAGATGTAGTAAAAGGCGGCGTACATGAAGACCGCCAGCCAGATGATGAGCACCACGGCGAAGGCGATGAGTCCCAACCGGAGAACCAGTTCGCGCACCGTGCCCACCTTCTCATCGGCCTTGCTCCGGACGCGATCGTATACGTTCCAGCCGAGATTCAAGACCGGTCGGATAAGAAATCGGCGCCCTAGGCCAAGAGGATCCAGGCAGAAGACAAAAAATCGCAGCAGGAAGTTCATGGCGGAGTGGGACACCAAGTGCAACTGGAACGAGTAGCATTTAAGTCCGTCAATTACTCTGTTTATGTGCTATCAGCGCCGATTGCTTATCGATTCACGATTTCTGAAGATTTGCATAGTTCTACGGCTTTATCGGCTGATTCACATATAGCATTTCGATTTCGACGGCGATTCCAGACGCTGTACCGGCTCATCGAGCAAAGGTCAGTGCTAAAATGATTTTATTTTCAGAATGATAGCGAAAAAAATAAACTGGCCAACAGGAAAGTAAAATTCGGCCCAAGTTTGGTTCCTGGGAATTTCTCATTTTACTTCAATTAACAATTATTATTTACTTCAATTATCAATATTATTACATTTCTAATTGATTAATGGTTATCATTATGAAAAGTTAACATCTGTGAAAGACTATGGTTTTTAAGAGTACCACTGACTGACTAAAAAAAATACTCCTTAAAATTCAAATACTTCAAACCTAACAAGCACTTTTGTCAACTTGTTGCACGGTTTTGCTGGACAGTGCTTTCTTGTCTGGCCAGCTGTTCCCCGCTATCGATAAACGATTGAACACGATTGTTTTTATTATGTACAATTTATTTTTTGTGTATATTTTGCTTTTCGTGCAATTTAAAAGTTTGTAAAATATCTTGATGGCAGTTATTGAAAAACAAACAACAACACTGCCTATGCGAATAACCGAGACTGAAGATTAGATTAATAACAAATAAGGACATCCACAGACAAGGATTCAGATAAGATAAAATCCGAGCATGAGCAACTACCGTTATCAGGGGGGCGGTGTCGGTGGTGGTGGTATGGCCGGGGGGCGTGGCTACTGCGGAATAGAGGTGCACGAGGGGATCCATCACCGCTTCACATACGTGAGCCAGTACGTCAAATACAAGATCTTCTTGTTGAACTTTGTGTTCTGGTTATTTGGAGGCCTGCTTTTGGGAATCGGGATTTATGCCTTTAGGGACAAGTGGGAAGAAGCCAACGGCTCGGTGCGGCTGGAGAACTTTTACGACGTGTTCCTCAATATCTCTCTGGTGATGATTCTGGCTGGCATGGTCATTTTTATGGTCAGTTTCTTCGGATGTTTGGGAGCACTACGAGAGAACACCGTTCTGCTGAAGCTTTACTCCATGTGCCTGCTGTTCTTCTTCCTCATGGAAATGGCCATCGGTGTGTCATGGTTACACCAATGGGGATATCAGAGCTCTCACTAATTTTTCACCTTTGCAGCCATTATATGTTTTGTGTTCCCACAATACATGAACACCTTCCTAGAGAAACAGTTTACGGACAAGATCATCCACTCTTATCGCGACGATCCGGACCTGCAGAACTTTATTGATTTTGCCCAACAGGAGTTCAAGTGCTGTGGCCTTAGTAACTCCGGTTACCAGGATTGGAGTAAGTTGAGAATACCGTTGACTATGGTATCCAGAGACGCAAAGCATTATTTATAGTTGTCTAAAATCTAAAACAACAAACAAATATGTATTAATTTTCAGTCTCGTCAATCTCTGAATAGTTTTTTTATTTTCAGGTAAAAATGACTACTTTAACTGCAGCTCACCATCGGTAGAGAAGTGCGGAGTGCCTTACAGCTGCTGCATAAATGCCACCGATATATCCTCCGGGCTGGTAAACATCATGTGTGGCTACGGCGTCCAAGAGACTCCGGTGCCAGAAGCCAGAAAGCGAATCTGGACCAGCGGTTGTATTGAAGTCGTCAGGGTTTGGGCAGAGCACAATCTGTACGTTATTGCCGGCAAGGCCCTATGCATCGCTCTCATCCAGCTGCTGGTTATATATTTGGCCAAAACACTAGAGGGACAAATTGAGCTACAAAAGTAGCGTCAGTTGACGTGAGATCCGGTGCAACCCGAATTTTACGGGCCGTATGATCTCACCTGAACGCTGATCACAAACAGCACATACCCTTAATATCCTTCATTTAATTTAATTTATTTATAAAAGGCTGCTCAAACCCTCAAACCCAGCGAATATACAATTTTTACTCAGTAGTAATCTGTATATTCATAAATATTCCCATTCTCAATTGTTGTAAGAAAAAAAAATTTGGGTTGATGAGCTATAAAATTGTAAAACCTTCCAATATGATTTAAGTCTTTCTTAATAGTTAAGAAGAAAGGGTTAATTTCGAAGTATTTAATATGCAATTAGTAGTTTTAATGAATCGTCTTAAGATCTTTGAGATTATGTACTTGTAGTATTTACTAGTTAAGTTAAACTTAACCCAGTATAAATGTTGTGCAATTTTTATTAAATACTCGAATATTTATACTCATATGAACCCGACCAAACATTGCCATATTATACATATACATACATAAATTACTCGCTAAATATCGGTGCATTTTTTTTACATATGTGCATAGCTCTAGATAATAATTATAAATTATTATATTATATCTGAAATAAAAGCAATTTGAAATGTATAATAAAAATTGAGCCGTTTAACGGTAGGCTTATGATAATAAAAGACAATATAAAATATTTAAGGGGGACAACTAGTGTGAAATTTCAAAAAAAGCAATTCTGATTCTTTAATATTCATATTTCGGTAATCTACCGAATTTACAAATAACATATTAAAATTTCAAATCGATATCTCAAATAGTTTTTGAGTTATAGCAATTTAAAAAGCAGCCGCTCTTATAACAGTGCTATCATCTTTAAACGAGTTTTTCTCGAAACAGCATTTTCCGAATTTACTGCAGTGATTACTCAAAAACAAATGATCCGATCACTATCGAATTTTTATATATATATATATTATATAGCTCTCCGTACGACCAAAATTTTGGCAAAATTCGAATTTTTTTTAAACGCCGCCATTTTGTGAATTTTTGATATTTTTTATAGTAGGTCATAGGTACAGACAATATTATCTAGTTTAACGATAACTTTTTTTTTTTATTTCATCTACGGAGAAGGGCGGATTCACTGCAGCAGTGAAGGGCTTTTTTAGCGCCATTGGAGATCGACTATAACTTAAAAAATATTAAATATTTTTCTTCAAAAATTTCACTTTATATTCTTAAATCATGTATAAATACATTCTTTAAATTTAGAAATAATTGATAAAGTAGTTTTTTTTAATAAAAATTCCCAAAAAACACCTTTTTTAGGCCGTCACATTAGTTGTGCCCCTTAAACAAATTTACCTTAGTAACAAACAGTATTTTAATCGAAGAATATTTTTGAAAATTTCGACTTCACCTGAATACCCTCGGTTATCGATAGTTATAAAGCAAGCGCTGCTCGCGAGTGTCATCCCTTTTTGAAACAGCTGAAAACACGAGGAGCAGATTTTAAAATATTGTAACGAAATACATTTAAAATCCCCTAAAAAGCACAGGCCGAAAAATGAAGAACAAGGTGGATAAAATCACAACCAACGGTAAAGAGGCGAAAAAAATCGTTCAACAAAAACGAAAACACACAAATACTCTTAAAACCGACGAGGATGTGGAAACGAAACCACCAGCCAAGATTCCCAAGGTTTCAAAAAAGAAGCCATCGGAGCAAGAAGAAAAGGAGAACACTCCGAGCAATGCTCCCCTAAAGGTGTCACAGATCAACAAAGCCGTTTTCGCTGTGTTTAAAAAAATTCAGGACAGCCAGCCAACTGAAAAGACGATCAATTCGCTGGTGGTACTGCTGCGCGATGACACGAATGACGAACAGGTAGATGCCGTTTTAAGTATTTAAATATTTTCGTCAACAAATTCTTTGATTTCCCTGCCCCCAGCGCACTGCCACTACTTGCTATGTACTCAAGCGTTTGATTCGCTCAACAGGAGCAGATAACATCCAGGCAGTGGCCGTAGCCGCCGGCTACTTAACCTGCATCCTAAGAGCCACTCTCTCCATCGATGCCCTGGAGGTTTTAGAGACCTTAAAGCAAGATCTGGCAGTTGGTAGCTCACTAAGGGGCAAGGAGGACTCACTGGCCGCAGTGGGCCAATTGGTCACTGTTTTTTGCGTACTACGAACGGTGCAGTTCGCGGAGACCAGGCCAAAACCCCTGGCAAAAGTCTGGGAAGTCCTGGTGGAACACCTAAAGGGGAAGGAGTACCTGGTGTCAATATCTGCGAATATTCTCGCAGATAGCTTCGTTCGTGTGGGTATTTTCGGTCCTTCGCTGGAAATAACTTATGTTTTATATATTATGTATTCAATTTTCACAGATAACAACGGCCGAATTCGAGGAGCTTCTGTGGCCGCTTCTGCAACCCCAAATAAAGAAGCCACTAAGTGACTTAAAGGTGAATACATTTGATCTTTTGTTGGCCGTGCATCTGAACTTTCCAACAATTCTGGGACGAGAGGAACTTATTGCCAGCTTGTGGCCGAAGAAACCACAGTACGGCCAGCTTTTCGAGCTTTATATCTCGGGGTCCACCATTTACACTTCTGATGTGTACTCCAGATTAGCAATATTCCTGGCCAATGGCGGAAAAGACCTACTCGCTGCTTGGCAGCAGTTTATCGACTCCAAGCAGCCGCTTAAATTGAATGCAGCCAAGGCCTGTGTTATTCAAGTACTGGGAAACTTACTTCTCAAGATGAAGAATAAGGAAGCCCAACTAATTTTTGATGTTTTCACACCCACCTGTGTGCAGTTTCTGCTGCAAGAACTGTCAATCGCTAAAGGGGACAAAAGCGAAACTAAGAAACGCTCCCAAAAAGAACTGCGTGAAATTTGCTTCAAGTTCGAGGGATGCCTGCTTTTTAGTTTCGAGAAGCAGTTACAAAGCGACGAGGTCAAGCTGCAGCTGCTGCTCAAGTTGTTTGACCAAAAACTGCAGTTGGACTCGGTCATTAGCATGCCTCGTTTCAGCCATCAGCTGATTAATCAGTTGGGTGTCGAGAGTCTTCAGAAGCTCTACGATTACTACACCAAGCTGCTGGGCTCTTTAGAGGACACAGATAAAGTGAGCCTAATGCACTGCCTAAACCAGATGCAGTTCATCTTGCAGCACTCAAAACTCGATCAGGAAGTCAAGTGGCGTACGAAGCAGTTGCGTTTCTTGATTCTCGCTAGCCTGTTCCACTTGGATGCCGCCGGAAAACCATGTGAGGCCGCTAAAGCCAGCGCTTTCAGTCGCCATTGCTCGGCTCGATGTGAGGAGATCTTTATGGGTTCCTTGGTGCACAAGTGCTCGGGTTTGGCAGCTCTGTGCCAGCTTCTTAACAAGACATTGAGTTTTCTTAACAAAGAGCTAGGTAAACCGGGTGCGGAGAGCAAATTGCGCTCACCAAGAGATGAGGCTCTCAAAAAACCGTGGGAAACGGTGGAAAAACTGCTGGCGAAGCCCAGTGATGAAACGGATGTCCTTGGCCTATCCTTCGAGGCACTTATCCTGTTCGTTTCTTTGGCCCTGTGCACAAAGAGTACCCTATCCGTTGCCGTGTTAGAGGATTTGATCATCTGTCGGAAAAGTGCGCTTAAAAAGAGCAAGAAAGACGTAAGAGCCCAAGTTTTTACCTTATTATCGCTGTAGCTAATTGTTTTCATCTTTTTTTTGTTGATAGGCTAACGAAGAGCTTAAGTGGCAAGATGTGCTAACGGATGCCCTGCTACAGTTGCTCTTGCAAACAGGTCATTTCTGGCGCGAGTTTGTTAACCTAGTGGCCGACTCCTTGATTCCCCACCTGGAGCCTGCTAACCTTGAGCAGGTTCTTGAGGTGCTTAACATGAACAGAAATCCCTTGAGCAAGAAAGACGAAGGAGAGGAAGAAGAGGAAAGCGATGAGGAAATGGAGGAGCAGTCGGAAGCTTCCAGCGATGATTCGGACAGCGCAGACGATGATGATGAGGATGAGATGGATGTTGATGATGAGGATGGCCCGACAAATTTGGATCTGATTCGCGAAAGTGTTCGTCAGGCATTAGTTAGCAATGGCGAAGCCGATGAAGATGGCGCCAGCAGTGTGGATTGGAACGATGTTGATGAGGAGCAGGGTGAACGCTTAAATGCTGCTCTCGAGCGATCTTTTCAGGCGTTCCGACCCCAGTCACGCAAAGCCAAGGCCAAGGAGCGCCCCACCAAATCGGAGCGCATCGATAACACTAGTCTACTGCACTTCCGCATTCGCGCCTTGGATTTGCTTGAACTTTTTATCACCAAGAAACCAACTCAATCTGTAATCCTAGACGTATTACTCTGCGTCTTCCAGGTGTACCGTCATTGCAGCGGCGATACCAAACTTCAATCGCTACGAGAAGCTAGCTTAAAGCTGCTTAAGAAGCTGCTTGCGAAGAACATTGATTTTGAAGCAAACCAGGACAGGACGCCTATTCTGGAGGCCATTGAGCAACTGATGTCCACTGGGGATGAGCAGTCGGAGGAGGACCACGAGGGCAGCAAGCAAACCATTAACCGACAGGCCAAGGCAGAGGCCACAATTTGGAGGGATAAGTGCTTCGCCTACTTGGTCAGTCAAGGTTCGACAGCTGGGGACCCCAAAGACAGTGCCGTTTGGCCTTTGCTCGTCGAGTTCCTGGAATTGTGGGCGACCAATCGTCGTAGTCGCCTATCGCTGGCCAGTTACGAGGCCCTATTCCAGGCTGGTCAATGGAAGGGAATTGCTCCATTGTCGGTGGTTTTGGCATCCCATTTGGATATACAGAAAACCCGCAGCTTCCGCCGCGGGCAGATTTTAAAGCTTCTAAGTAAGCAGTTTCGCCGGCTGGAAACCGCTCTGAACGATAACACCAAGGCATCCAACGAATTTGAAAAGCAACTGGCCAGATATGTGGAGCAACTAGAGGCGGAGTCTGGCCATCTTACAGAACTAAATTTGCTGCAAAAGATTCTGGCCCAGGGTGGCCAAAAGCGGCAGAAGCTGTTGGAGAAGGTGAACGCTCTGGCCAAAAAGCCTCACCCGGAGAAAAAGACAGCTATTCAGACGAATCTAAATAAGAAACAGGCAGCAGCGAAGGAGCCAGAGAACGTCACAAAGAAGGACAAGTCCAAGAAGACCAACAAAAAAGCTGCAAAAAATAATTAAAGGCGCTACATATATAAAGCAGCTTAATATTAAAATAACACTAAGTTTACCATCTTAGGGACTACTTGCTGTTAAATGCTAAATTAGTGTTGAAGCGAGCATACAATAAACTAAAACAAGCCAGGTACTTTTTGTTGAATCTTTATTTGGTTAGGGCCATGTCGAGCGTAAGTCTAGTTTTTAGGCGAAAAATGCAGGTCCCACAAACAAATGGAATCCCTTGTTTAAAATGAAATTCAACTTCGGAAGAACTTTTAATTCATATGGCATTTACACGTACGAAATGATTGACAACTAAAGAGTGTTTTAAGTCTAAGTGCTGCCACAGCATACAGATTACTCAGAATGCGATCACAGGCGAGGTGGGAAGTAGACGTGTTGGCGGAATGTGCTATTAAATTTGGGCACCATACACTCATCATTCTTGCCCCGCTTTTCTGCCACTTTGTTAGTGACAATCGTCAAAATGTCGGCAATATGTTCACTACGCACAAACAGAAAGAATTTTAATTGAATCAACCGCTTATTATTTTCTAAAAGCTTGTTACCTGGCTGAATGCTGCTCGATGGCGTCGCACAGGCTCTGGATGAACCAGCTGCCCGAGTGCGTGTGTCGAAGAGCAGAAAATCCGTTCACCGTGGACATGGCCCGGACCATATTCACGTGCTGGCCGGGTGACTGGGTGATAACATCGATCTTAAACTGAAAATAAGAATCCAATCGATACAATACACTTTTAAGCCGACTATTGATCGAAAACAACTTACGGGCAATCCCTGAGGACTCTCCTCTCCTTTTTTGGGGGCCTCCTCCTGGCACGCCTGAATGATCAGTAACTTGGGCTTGTTAAAAAGGGAATCGTAGCTGCACATTACGTTTTCGATGTCCGTGATGCGTAGGGCGATGCTGTTCGATCCGTAGACGGCCTCCTCGAAGCCGTGTGTCAGAATGCAGACCACTAGAGAGTCCCGCAGAAGCGATCTGTCGCAGGCACTGCGGATGAGCTGCACGATGCTTAGGTGATCCACATTTGAATGTGACTCCACATTATAACCCATAGCGGAGAAGACTGCTGTGAGTCGCCGTTCATCGACGTCCGTTCCATCGCGTCGGCGTGGAGTATTTGGCGCTAGATATTTCTGTAAAGGTAAAGTGAGTTTTTTTTTACAATCGACCAGATATTATATCAAAGATCACTTTCAGATCCTCGTTGACATCTCTGTGAAACTCCCTTTGGTTGATTATTAAAGCGATTCCTGCGTTTTCTCGACTCAACTCAAGGGCATCTTTTTTCCGGAGAGGGGAAGCTGGGACGGCCGCCGTGGATGTGGCACTCAACGGCACCTGCTGGCTATCCGATTGAGTTTCCCGCTTGATGGCAAGTGGAGGGACAACCTCTAGAATCTGATCATCAGAAGCATTGCTGTTGATCGTGTCTATAAGCAACTTGGCTTGTTCTTGCAAATCATTAAATTTTAAATGCTCGATTAGCAGCTGAACATCGCTACCCATGGCATTAATGTCTCCTAGACGTATAGCCTTTCTGGTCAACCAGTCCAGAAGGAATATCTCCAAGTAGGTGGCATCATAGAAACGGAGTGGATCTCCAGGCTGTTGCCGCGCCACTTTTTCACTAACATCCAGAACCAAGCGGCCACTCTGCGCCAATGACAACTCTTCGCAGATCATGTAGAGGCTCTTCAGAAGCGGATGCACATGCAGGGCAATTCCACCAACGTGTGGCAAGTAGTGCATCCGAAGCTCCTGCCAACGGAAGCCCAATTTGCGGAGCACTTGCCGTGCACCAACAATGCATAGAGCCTCCAGCAGGTTTTTTTGCCAGGTGTCCGGCCTGTGCTTGGCATACTGCATAAGTAGATCACTCTGCACGAAACTCGTTCGCGTCATGGCTAGCAGTTTTTGTAGTATGTAGGTAGCATCCGAGTGGTTGTTGCCATAAAGCAGGAAGCAAAGACCCACCTGACGAAAGATCACATATAAAAATAAATGTAATTGGTTTTTAAGTAATCTTAACGGAGTTGCCGCACCTTTTGGGCAAAGTTCAGGTCCCGCTCCAAAAGAACCAAATCGTTGAAATCGATGGAGTCGAGATGGCTTAGAAGATTCGACCCTGCCATTTCGACGCTCAATGCGGGAAAGTACCAAATTGAGGATTCAATTTCGCTTACAAACTTGTTGACGCAATAGAGATGGCCGGCGACAGCTGATCGCGAGAAATTGTCATGATCGATAAAAAAAAAATTGATAGGTTATTATCAATAAACATTTTGATTAGGATATTTTCCTTTAACAAGAAAACGTGTTGAAATAAACATTACATGAATAAATAATAATTAAAATAAAATAAAGTAAACATTAATCAACCGTTACTTTCTCGAAGCAAAGTTATTCACCATCTAAGCAGAGTTGCTTTCGGTGGCTATTTGTGTTTTCCGGGAACGGTCGCACACTCTACCGAGCACGCGGCCACACTATCGATAACATTTAAGTAGAAATTTGAACTGTTAACAACCACGCCTCCTGAATCTCATGTTTTGGACGAAAAGTTTATTAATTTAATGTTTTTGTATATTGTATTCTGTCCATAAGCGTAACAAAGACAGAAAAAGAGGAAGGGAGAGAGATACTGAGATAAGGGCCCGCAGGCAGAGAGACAGAGAGGGCGAAAGCGAGCTGAAAGTGGGTGCGAGCGAGATAGCGCGCGCTCGCCGCCTGCACACATATAGAGCTGTACATATATATAGTATCAGAAAAAAACAGTCCGAAAAAGGTCGCTGTTCGACTTGCGAAAACTTTTAAGTTTTTTTCATACCTATATATGTACCCACACCGCTGCGTCATCAAATACGAATACATCAGATGTATGTCAATATATACATATACATATGTGTGGCCAATACTATATGCCATATATGCCTGTATATAAATCTTTATTCACCTACTGTACCACTTCCACATTATGTAAGCAGCGACGCCAAAAAAAACCCCAAACAAGAAAACTGAAAAGCGAAAAGAAAAACAACGAAGTAAAAAACGTACCTATAAACCAAAAAACCGAACAGCAATGTTATAAACTAATACCAAAAAGTTTTAAATGTTCCACACAAAAAAACAAATCGCACGTAAAATCACGCTAAAAAAAAGTAAGATCAAAGAAATAACTTGTCTGTATGTTTGGCATAGTTCCGAAATATCTGTATGTACTTATGTACGTGTATGTATGTTGCTCAGCGTTCACGCCTCCCACCACCTTTGTGTGTGGGTGTAAGAAAGGAACAGATGGCAACATTATTGGAAAAGTACATGCATTTGTTTTTGGAACGCCAGCAAAAAGAAAAAAATAAGCAAAATGCGTGATTTTTCGTTTTCTGCCTTCTATGTACATAGCCGCAAACTGCGCAGATGTGTTTAGCATACAGTCACTTTCGCTGTACATGTACATACATATGTATGTACATGCACATGTACTTTGGCGTATGTACAGTCGCAGTCAAAAAAATTGCACAGCGAACTTAAGAAAACATCGTTTGCCTCAAGTGTTTTTATAAAAGCTTTATATTTTTTAAACACATACATATAAACATAAAAAAAATTAAACACATTCTCTTTTAAAGTCACACACACACCCAAACACTGGAAACATTGTCTCGTTTGTATGAATGCCTTGCTTACCACATGGGTGTACAAGCGAGACAACATGATAAACAAAGCCTCGAAACAAAATAAAAACGCGCTCTTAATGGGCGCGTGTGAGTACGATCAGTAATTTTTTTTTTTTCTAAAAGTTCATTAATGAAATTGCATAAATATCAGTTCATTTAAGGATGCACATCATCATGAAAGACAAAGTAAAAATATATACATACATATGTGCGTGCGACGTTAGGTTGTTGTCCTTTTCGCACGATGAGAAAAACAATGTTTTCAAGACCACTAATTTTGGCTTCCTTTCGCTTTTCAGTTTTCAGGAATTTTGAATATTATTCATAATTTTTTATTTGAATAATATTTTTCAGGAAATTATTAGAAATTTAATTTCCTAAGATTTTAATCAACGTCTTTAATAAATTTTTGATATCAACATTTGGTTCATTGATAATTTCATTCAAAAATTATATTTTCTTTTTAAAATATTTTAAATTATTTAATTTTCTTGTATGAATTTAGTAGCAAATAAGTAAATCTTTTGAAATGCAAAAACATTACCGTATTTTTTAAACCAATGAGTTGCAATTTTATATTAATTTTGTCATTTTGAAAAACTAATTTTCAGATTTTTAAATTTTACGATCACATTCCCCAATTTAGCCCATCAGGAACGTTTGCTTTTTGTGTTAACCAATCCCAGATAGTATTTGATTCAGTTTTTAAGTTTTCGATCGCATATGTGGTTAGGTTGGGAAACCCATTCACCTCTGAATATTTCGATATATATACACATAACTGTAGAAAACTATATAGACAACGATTTCCATGTCCATGACCTTTATCATCCAGAGGTTCTCCAAAATACTTCTTTGTTTCCAGCAGAAAGAATCTTTTTCTTACGAGCTTACACCGAGATTTAGCTTCATTGAGACATAATGTCATCAGTTTTGGCGGATTCGCCGGTGATTGATTTGGCGGAGGATCTAGAAGACGGTGAGATCGACGATGATGACGAGGAGGAGGAACAACAGCTGCTACCAAAGACCCAGGTCCAAAAGAATGATTCCTCGGTGGACGACGATGTTCAATTTGTGGGTATCGAGGTCAAGAACAAACTTGCTGACGAGGATGTCGTCTTTATGGGATTATCAGCCGATGCTGGCACACACAATAACAATAGCAGCAAGTCCAAGAAGGCTAGGCCATTGGAAGGTACATAGAATCGCGGGGATCGGGTTTTGCCTAGATGTTTCTTTCTATATCCTGTGGCTTATATTTCTTAGATGATCATGCCAGCAACATTGAGAATGCCATTGCGAATGCCCTTAAGAAGAAGGGCATAGAGCCGCCAATGCCCAGAATGCGATCGTCTAACCAGGACATTGGCGATGTGTCCTTGGAGGGACCAGGAGAGGGTTTGTCTGGCGGCGGAAATCAAGTCCAGCAGCCAAGTCGCAGCAGCCGGCGAAGAAAGCGCAAAAAAGAGCGAGAGCGCGAGCAAAAGAAGGATAAGGAGCACCAGGTGAGGCCATCCCAACTCAAAACCCCTTTCTTTTTGAGAAGTTCCACCTTTTTTAACCGTACTTTTTTTTTTATTTATTATTTAATGATTTAGACTATAAAGTCGTGTAGCAATTAATGGTCTTTTTGCACTGTAAAAATCGTTCAAACTATAAACCAAGCGCCCCTTTTTTTAATATTCCTGAAAAGGAAATACATTTTCTATAATTTTCCTGTGGCAGCTTAGTGGTATACTGAAACTGAGAACATGGGATATTGGCAAACTATTTGAAAGTGCTTAGCTACCGTGACAAAATCCGTGTCGAATTGTTTTCCTTTTCGTGTCTGTTCTCTTTTCCTTCTGCATTAAGTTCGTTATTTATGACCGTCTTGCTTTGACTTACCTTTTTGCAATAAGTTCAGGTTTGTTGTCTCAATGATAGACATGGGTATATCCAGAGGAAAACCCAATTGTAATGAGAAAAGGACCATCAAAATTGTGCCTAATTTAAATCAGGTTATTGAATAAATTTGGAGCTTAATATTTTCTGTCTAGCCCCCAAATAAGATGAAACCTTATTTTGCTAATTGATCCTTCACCTTTCATGCTCTCCAGAAACGATCTCGGCGAGAAGAAGAAGATATTTCCGGTGTAACGGGCGGTGTCGGCAGCGATGAGATGGACGAATACGAGATGATGAACGTGCGGGGCGGCAGTCCGCCGCCCGGAGGAATAGCACCACCTGCATCCGGTAGTGGTCAGCGTTTCAGTGGCGCCGACTGGGACATGACTGAAGGTCCAGCGGTGGGCGGGGGTTCCAGCGTCGCGGGAGGAGGAGGCTATGACTCTCAACAGGATCCCTACAGCAGCTACGATTCCTATTCCGAGGAGGAGGCAGCACCGGCACCTGGTCCCATAAATCAGCGGCGCCGGGTGCGAAGAGATAGGGAGAAGGAACAGCCGCAGCGCGGTGCCAATAATCGCAAGCGAAGGGAGCGAGATCGTCATGAGGGCGGTGGGGCCGGAGGCGGGGCCAAGCGAAACCGCCGCGATTCCGGGGAGGGAGGTGGCGGTGGGCAGGAGAAGACGGGCGGCGGCGGCGGCGGTCGTATTGAGCCCCGCAAGCTGGAGCTTTGCAAGTTTTACCTGATGGACTGTTGCGCCAAGCGGGACAAGTGCTCTTACATGCACAAGGAGTTCCCCTGCAAGTACTACTATCTGGGCATGGACTGCTACGCCGGCGCCGACTGCCTCTTTCACCACGGCGAACCGCTGACCGAGCAGCTACGTAACATCCTGCTCAAGCACATGGAGACGGCGCCGAAGGAGATCCTCGGGGACTTCAAGCGAATATCGAGGGACATTGCCCTTGTTCAGATGACGAGACGACACGAGCAGCTGTGCGAGCAATTCAAGCGGGAGAACACCTGGAGCATGATGGTAGGTGGCGGAATGGGCCGGCGACAGGACCAACAGCAACAACAGCACATTCAGATGCAGCAGCAGCATCAGCAACAGGTGCAGCAGCATCAGCAACAAATGCAGCAGCAGCAACAGGAGCAGCAGCAGCAGCAGCAGCAACAACAACAACTGCAACAGCAACAACTGGTGTCCGCGGAGGCCGGCGGCAGCATTCCCTCACTTTTGGACATGGTCATCAATCCCCCGCACCCGGAAAAGAAACGCAAGTCCCGCTGGGCTGATAAAACAGCAGCCAAGGCGGCAGCCGCAGGATCAGATTCTCAAGAAGCGGGCAGCACATCGCCGTCTACCAAGTCGTTGCCACCACATTTGGACTTAGTCAATCTCAGTCACGTTTTGAGTGCCGAAAACATGGCAAAGCTGAACAAGTTGGGTATCACGAACTTGAAGCAAATGCTGCAGGTACCCTTTGGGCAGTTAACCGAAGCGGGTCTAACGTTGGTCGAGATCGGGGAGATTCAGCGGAAAGCCGAAGAGGCCAAGCCGCAAGCCAAACCGGATACGGCAGTCAGGTGGGCATTAGGCTTTTAAAATAATGTACTGTGTACAATTCTCCATGTTCACTCGAACCTTGTCTTGCAGTACTCCCGTTGCCAAGCCGGAAACGGAGGCTAACAACAGCAACTCGAACAGCAACGGTTTCATCATGGTGGACTACACGCAGTATCTCAAGGATGCGCATGTCAGCTTTTCTGGCAACGATCCGCGTGAGTAGGGTGGGCTTTATTAAGATCTCAAACGGTTTCCAAACGGGGTTTTTCTTACGAGTACAAGTAATCGAATGCATTCTTATTTCGTTTTTTGGTGCATAATTGCCATTTCCTTTTTTAGTGGACGACGATCGCGATGATGACGAACAGCTGGTCATAGACGACGGCAACGAGTCAAACGCCGAGGAGGAACAGCAACCAAAACCTTCGAAGGCGGCGCCAGCCTCTCGCCAGGAATCTGCCACCGAGGAGGTGCCTTTGCCTTCGGTTTACGATCTGCCCAGCTTTATGAGCAACATGCTGGGCCACGGATCCTCAGCAAACCAATTGCTGCCAGCCAGTGCCACATCGCCCAACCAGGATGTGCCGGCATTGGCTGGAGTAGATCATGCGGGACTCAAGCAAGCAGCCGCCAGCGGCAGCACGTCCAATGTATTTAGCCGGATTATCTTCGGCGATAAGCAACCGGATCCCGAGGCAAGAGCAGCTTTCTACCGTGACATTATCCGCAATCCCTTTAAGGCGCACAGCGGCGATGGAGATGTCGACTCCAGCAATGAGAACTCCAACTCGAACTCGCGGTCACTAACACCGACTCCAACTTCGGAGCCAGGATCCCAGTCACCCAAGCAGGTGGACCAGGATCACGAGATGCCGGAATTGCCTGCCATTACGCCAGCGTTGCCGCCGACCACTCCCTCGCTTTACGTGCGTCCTTCTATGTACGACTTTGACCCTGCCAAGGTGGAGTTGCAGGAGCGGCGGAAGGGAAAGCTCCTGGAGGACGAGCGCGACACAGACATGCGACTGCCATTCGAGCCGATGAAACACTATTTACCCGCCACCGAAATTGATGCGGCGATTTTCTCGCACACTCCGCTCCGCTGGCAGTTGCAGGAGGTGTCGGTGGAGGAGACCAGCTATGCTCAGATCAGGGCCAGTGCTTTGCATAAGGAACAGCGAGATCTGCGGGATCCGCGCTTGCGTCGTATTTTAGGTCTGCCAGATATGCCAGACAATGGTGGAGCCATGGGATCGACGACTGCTGCGGGAGGGAGCTCTCTGTCGGGCGACTCCTTTAGTCGGTCCGGAGCGTGTATAGCCTCGCCGGACTCGGAGACCAGTCTCCGTGATGCCACGCCCAGCTCACCGCCTCCAGCGTTGGCCAATCTGCCACTTATGAGTGTACCCCCGCCGTCGCTGAGTGTACCGCCTCCGAATCTGCAATTGGAAAAGCCCACTGTGCGCGCAGACCCGCGTCGTGATCCCCGGAGGGCTCATCTTCAAGTTCCAGCTCAGGCTGCGAGCACGGCTAGTTCCACACCTTCGACGAAAGCCAATGCCGCCGGTGGCAGCAAGCAAATCTCCGAAATCCGCAGCCTGATGCAAAGCTCAAACTGGTACAAGAATTTGGGCAGCAATAACAAGATCATGGTGAACCAACAGCTTGCCCTGGTGTTCACCGAACTAAAGAAGTTTCATCAGCAGCCCGAGGATGCTCCAAAAATATTTGATGTCAGCTTTATAGTGAACAACCCAACGTTGCAGCAAATCTTTGCAAAACTCTTCATCTATGTGGACGACAATGGTCAAGTGGTGCAGATGCCCGAGGAGAACAACGGTGGCGGAGATGGAGTGGGCGGAGTGGTGCTACCTAATTTATCGCAACCCCCGCCAAACCTGGCCCAAATGCTGAGGGTACCGCCGCCAAATATACGGATGATGCGCATGTCCGGAATGATGATGCAAATGGGCAACCTGGGTCCGCCCTTCAATCAGCCACCTCCACGAGCAGGATTGCTGGGAATGCTACCAGGCGGCAATGGTGGAAACCAAGGAGTGGGAAACCAAGGAGGAGGAGCTGGACCAATGCCCAATGGCAATCCCTTTAATCCGTTTGCTGGCGGAGCGGGCGGCAATGGGGCAGCAATGAATTCCATGGGCAACATGGGCAACATGGGAATGCCCTTTAACAATTTTAACAATGGGAACAACAACAATGGGGGCGGCAGACATTTTCCAGGAGGGGGATCTGGTAATGTAAACAATCGCAATCAGCGTGGCGGCAACCAGAATCGGAACCGCAACCTCTAAGAGCGAATGTCTTTCCAGGAGAAACCAACAGACTCGAAAAGACTTGTTATGCCAAAATGATGTCCATGTTATGTCCCATGACCCTTTCGCCCCACCCCCATATTAGGCACCCTTCCCATAGACTACTGCTGTTTTCCCCGTCATTTTTTTTTTTTTTTTTTGAAAATCCGGGCTTCGACTGCTTTGTACATTGTATTCAATTCCTTAAATCCCCATCTTTGTCACTATTTTTTTTGGCTAGGTGTAAGGTAACCCATTTTTATCACTACTACGTACTGATAAATGTAGTAAAAAGTAAAAGAAAGAAATTAAAAAAGCTGAGAAACAGGAACAGAATGTAAAGAAGAATGGTATGCGACCTTTTTACCGAACTCTTTTGAGTTTTATAGGCTAAACTGGTTTTTTGTACATGTACTATCTGATTAACTAGACATACAAACTACAAATAAATGACATGTTTTAAGTAATGCGGCATATGTATATAGGTGTGGTAGGTTTTCTTAAAACATCAGCAAAGCAGATACATTACAAAAAGCAATTCCCTTAAAGTGTGCCAGGTTTTCTTAAGTTTGAACTTGATAGTTTGTATTATCGAAGTATATGTGAACTTTGAGTGGGAACTAGTTCTTTACGAGTGGACTTGGAGAAAATTCAAGACGTTTCAAATTAAAAAAATAACTGGTGTCAACTTTTGCTATTTCCCCACTTAATCTTAATTTAAACATAATTTTAATTTAAACATAATTTTAATTTAAACATATGTTATTCTTATATTATTGATAAGTAATTTATTCGAAAAGAAAATGTCTACAATTTTTTTTTATGTTTAAATTTGTTCTTAGGTTTCAGTTAATGTACTTCTTAAATGTATGTATATATTTTATGATTTTGCTGAAAAGAAGGCTATAAAAAAGGTCTTATCAAATGTATATATTTTTATGTATATGATGGCTTGCTTGGCGTATATTTCATTGCTTTGATTTGAATTTAAACATAACTTCGCGCTCTTCTCCAAGGCGCGAACCAATGTTTCAGCAGGTTGAAGAAAAGGTTTTGATCGGGAAATTTAGAGACAACGGATTTTCATGGCTATGATTTTGGAGATAGCTTTTTTAAGTCTGGCAACCACAAGCTTCGGAAATGGAGACCCACGACGCCCTGCTCCAGGAGCTTCTGCAGGCGGAACATGAAACTGGTCAGGACGAGGAGGCACGCCAGGCGCACCTGCAGCTCATCAACGAGCTGCACCACCAGCTGGTAGTCCCGGTGGGAGTGGCGGCGGAACGTCTTCAGCATCTTATAATGGAGGTGCGAAAGAGAGGGCAGCACGACCTGTTGCGCCGGTGGCAGCTGTGGCTCAACGAGCTAATCCTGGCCAGGAGGATCATCCTAGTGCGGTCGCACCTGCTGGTGGCCGAACTAATGGAGGCAGGGCAGCCGGACTCATCGTCTGCAGAGCTCCAACTGCTTCTGACGCTGCTAAAGACGACGCCGAAGGAAAAGTTGGCTGAGTACTGGCCGAGATTGACTACTTTGCCCAAAATGAGGAACGTGGAGACAGCCCTGCTGCTCCTGCAGTGCCAGGATCTGGTGCTGAACGAGCTTAAGGAGTCTCCCGACGAGGCTGACCATAGCCAGAGCCTGGCCAACTCGCTCGTCCACATGCATTTTGAGGGTTGCTGGCTGGAAGTCGAGAAGGAGACGGAGGAGCAGATGGCCCTGCTAATGGCCCTCAGCCTGGAGCTGCTGCAGAAGCTGGTGGCGCGGCAGCCGAACTACGCGGAGCATCAGATTCCTGAGCTGATTGGCCTAGTCCAGTGCTACTTGCAGTACGGCGAGACAGAGGGAAGCACTTCTCTAATGCCCCGCAGGCTCCCGGCCGCACAACAGTCAGCCGCCTATGGGCTGGAGGACGAGCACCAACAGCCCGGCCAGAAGTTGCGCTCCGGCGGCCGAAAGAACAAGGTACGCAAGATGCGGTCACTGGCCAAGCAGCGCAACCAGGCGGCCAGCGATTCCCAGGAGACCAATTCGCGGGAGCGCCTGCTGCTAGTAGGCAATCAAGACTACGGCTGCCTCACCGGCGACTCGGGCGAAAACTGTCCAACCTCCGATGCGGATCAGCAGCCGGAGACCAAGCACCTCCGCCATCTGCAGGCCAAGGTAAGGATCTCGGCGCTGCACCTGTTAGGATCCTTGACCAAGCAGCTGCCACGCCGCTCCCTGTACAGCTATTGGCACGTCCTGTTTCCCGACAGCGACTCGGCCGGCGGACGCAATCTGCTGCTCGTCGGTCAGAAAGACACCAACTCCCGCTGTCGCGCACTGGCCCTGCAGCTTGGCGCCCAGCTGCTGTACGGCTCCAAGGGGTTCCTGAGCCAGGCCTGCTCTCGCGGACCTAGCAACTTCACACCCTTCGCAGTCAGCCTAGCCAGCTCCGTGCTTTCCGCGTACCGCACCCTAAGCGCCATCCTGGAGCGGGAGTTCGCTCCACCCGTGCTGACGCAGTGTCTCAAATGTCTGGCCGTTCTGGTCCAGGCCACGCCCTTTGATCAGTTGGAAATGGGCTTCGTCTACGAGTTCGTGTGCCACGTAAAGAAGCTGGCCAAGAGTGCTGACCCTCCAGTAGCCGTGTCGGCCCTTCTCGTCATGGAAATGCTGGTGGCCACGACCAAGCTCACTCCGGAGATTGCCAGCTCGGTGGGCCTGGCTCCCGATCTTAGGAACGTACGATTGGATCAGGTCGACGCGATAGACGACTTTCAGGAGCTGTGCGACTCTGACCCGGAGGTGGAACTCGAGGAGGAGGCGGATCTGGAAAAGGAGGAGCAGCCGAAGGCGCAGCAGAAATCGCTTAATCCCGCCCACGCACTGTCGCAATCCATTCCGCGCAACTCCTGGCTTCTGAGGCTGGTCCTCCGCTATCTGGAGGGTCTGGGAACTCCAATCACGGTGCGCATAGAGTGCTTCCAGGTACTTCAGGCGATGGCAATACACATTGGTATTCTGCGCGGCCACCAAGCGCGTTTGGCCAAGGTGATCTCCGCCGGACTGAGGGATCTCGTCGCCGATGTGAAGCTCTACGCGGCACGCTGCCTGGACTCCGTGGGCTATCAGCTGGGCAGGCTACTGCCGGAGCAGGCGGAGCGGGAGCAGCAGATGTCGTTTTGGCTGAGTCTGCTGCCCGCCACCTACGAAGCCTACGACGGCGCCGGGTTTCCGCTCAAGTGCGCCCTCTGCGACGCCCTGTCCAACATGGGCGCCTTCAGCTTCGAGCGGCTATCGGATGGCCATCGGACCGCCCTGCTGGCGTTCCTAAGCGGCTGCGCCAGTGACGACCACGAGGAGCCACTGGTCCGGGGAGCAGCCCTGCGGGCCATGGCTGTTTACGTGCTCCACCCCTCGCTGAGGACGGACCTGGGATTCGTGGAAAACACCGCGGAGCTGACTCTGCGCATCATCGACGACCACCAGCTGGTCGTGCGGATCAAGGCCGCCTGGGCGCTGGGCAACATAAGCGACGCCTTGGTGGCTGGCATTTCCAGCCAAACCGAGAGGATATCGGCCGACCTGCTGGGTCGCCTCATCCAGGCGGCGACGAAGAGCTGCAGCGACCACGACAAGGTGCGGGCCAATGCGGTGCGAGCTCTGGGAAACTTACTGCAGATTCTGCAGCTTCAGCCCGCCGGGAGCGAGGAGGTGATGCAGCTGGCCATGTCCGAGCTGCTGGACTGTGTGAGATCCTCGGGCAACGCAAAGGTGAAATGGAACGCCTGCCACGCCATCGGAAATCTGGTGCGGCATAGGGGCTTCTTTGCCAGTGGCAACCTGCCCGGGATCCTGTTCCCCGCCCTAAGCCAGCTTATGGTGCAGCACATTAATTTCAAAGTGCGCACCAATGCCGCCGGGGTGCTGTTACGGGTGGAGCGGCGACAGGATTTTGGCGGCCACTTTTCTACTGTGTGGCGCGCGCTTCTTGAGGCTCTGGAACGATCTAATGCCCTGGACAGCTTCGAGGAGTACAACCACCGGGACGCACTGCAGCAGCAACTCTGCCTGGCCATCGCTCACCTGCTGACTCTGGCTAAGAGTGGCGATCTGCCGGCGATTCGAGAGTCTCTCGAAGGGGATTTCCTGGAGCAGGTGCGGGACACGTGGCGGCGCGTCGCCTTCCGCATTATTCCCGAGCGATCAGCGCCGCTCTTCACTTGTGCTTCTCTGCTGGAGCAGCGCCTCCAGGCGGAAGTCACCACTCAGCAGCGCTGCGCCTTAGTCTTCATCACGAGCTCCCTCCGGCTGGACCCGTAACCATCAAACCATACCCATAAAACTTTGTTAGTAAAATCCGAGTTTTCAATTTTATTTAAAATTCCTAATGCTTGGGCAAGTTGGGGAATTTTTGATTTGAAATACTAGGCAAACAGGAACGCTTAGCAGGTGTAGAACGATCAGCTGATCAACGCTTGATGCTACTTTTAAGTAACGGTTCTTTCTAGCGTGATAGCTTTCTGATTGGTCGGGACAGGGAGGGGAAGCGTAACAAGGACAGCAATCTTATGAAAAGAACAGTTATTTGAATAAGATCAGATTTACCAGCTGCAACCTGCTATGAATTATGTTGGCCTGGTGTCTCAAATCGATTTGGGAAGCAAAATCGACTGTGTTTGCGAGACCAAACACCAGGAAAACAGAAATGCGAAGTAGGCGAATGTGCAGCAGCGCTGATTTGTGTAAAACAACAACAATTTCCCCTAGAAAATTGTGAGGAAATAAATTGAAACACCAGGCCAACATAACCGATTAGAAAGTGGAAAACGATCAGCTGATCGACGTTTGATGCTACTTTTAAGTAACGGTTCTTTCCAGCGAGATGGCTTCTGATTGGTGGGAACAGTGAGGGGAAGCGTGCCAAGGACAGCTGTTTTAAAAAAGAGCCGTTATTTGAGTAAGATCAGATTTACCAGCTGCAACCTGCTATGAATTATGTTGGCCTGGTGTCTCAAATCGATTTGGGAAGCAAAATCGAGTGAGTTTGGGACACCAAACACCAGGAAAACAGAAATTCGAGGTAGGTGAATGCGCAGCAGCGGCTCTTATGCACAGTGACGACGCTGGGGGGTGGTCCAGGGTGTCCGAAATTTATCAGCGTTTGCGTACTGCCGATTCTGTTGGCCTGGTGTCCAAAACCAAAAAATATATAAAGAAAACGGGTGTTCGTGGTCAGCTTTGACCACAAATTTTAAAAGAAGCTTGAAATGTTCTCCCGCAGAACAAAACGCAATCAATATACATTTTTAGGGTGTATTTGTTTATATGTGTGAATACATAATATGGGGTTGCCTTAATTTGATTTGTTTGTGATCGCAGTGCATCTGAATCCCAATTCCCCCCGAAGCCTTAATGTGGGTCGGGAGAACGGAAAGTAGCTTGCGACCTATGGATGTGTGTGGGGTACAGGTATTTTCTAAAATTCCTTGCAAGGATTGTGGTGTTGTATGTGTATATTGTATGGTAAGCATATGAATTATATGGTTGTCTGACGTTAAAAAAACTACAAAAGAGATGCGTACAAATATTGTGGTTACTTTTAAATTAAAATGTCAAACTAAAAGGGTTTAATAAAAAAAACAATCATAAAATAGTCGAGCGCGCGCCGAAGAAAACGGCGTAAAAAGAGAAAGCGGCCGCCGGCGCCGATTTTCTTTTTTTTTTTTCGTTTTGTAATAACCTTAAGTCTAAGCTGCCCCCAGAAGCCCCGTGTCTATGTCTCGTGTTCTCCTCCTCCTCCTGTTTCCCGGTCGCACCCCTCAGCCGGCAGGGTGTTCCGCTGCTCGGCGGATTGCAGTTCCCGGTCGACCATCACTGCCTCGATCTGAATGGGGTGGGGCGGAAGGTCCCGGATAAGGCGCTTCGTTTCTGTGACGCCACCCGAGCGGGACTCGTCCTCGAAGCTCAACATGCGCTTGCCACCGCGTACTTTTTCGTTCATCCGCTGCAGGTCCTGTGGGAGACAAGCGAAAGCATTAAATTATGGCCGTTATAGTAACTCCAGGACAAACGAGCAGAAAAATCAAATACGAACATACGAATATAGAGTTCGTAGTTCTATTTGTCTTCAACATCATAATCTGCTGGTTTTCTATTATATTAACCTTTGCGGGGCTGTGGCAGAACATGTAGACCATCTGGTTGGGCGACTGCTGGATCTCGTTCTTCGGCATTTGCGACACATAGAGCGAGTGGTTTTGGGTGACCTTTTTGGGCTGGGCGGCCCGTTCCTTCGGATGCGGGGAGAGGAGAAGGTCCGAGGCGCGGCCACTCACGTCCGGCGGTACGTTAAGGTAATCGATGGCGAACTGCCGGTTCAACGGCACATACTTGTTATTGTAGAAGTGGATGATGTCTTTCACCTTTGGCTCGCCGTCATCATTCATCCCAATAAACACCTCGCGGTAGATTCTGTTTACTGCCTGTGGCTGATTCCGGTACGCCCGCATAATGTCAATAAACTTGGGGTCCTCCATTCGCTTTACCTGCGGGACAAAATAGTAAGTGGGATTTCATAATTTTGACATGTAACCAAATTTGTTTAAATTTTGAAAACATGGCCTGGATCGCATATTCTTAACAATGGCGGAAGCTTATTTGCATGTAGAACCGACGCTTAATACATATAGTTGTGTATGGTTAAACAAATATATACAATTTAAAATGGGTGGAGAAAACGAAAAAGACAGACCATTAAGGCAGTAACACTCACTCTAATGTAGATATATATTGCACACATGATAATTTGATCGAGGTGGCGGTCCTTCATTAACTCCGTTTCGTGGGTGATCGAGTGCTCGAAGATGTGCCAGATGCACTCGGGCGTCTTGTCGTAGAGTTTAAGTTCCGAACAAAGCTTTTGGATGCGTAGCCAACCGAGAAGGTACACCTTGCGTAGGAAGATCTGCAGGGCTCCGGCAGTGCGGTCGCCGCTCACCTCGAATGAAGTGGGCAGCGGCGTTTGGGTAGAGGCGATCATGGACCAGACGGGCGAGTCCCGCGCCCAGGCCAGCCGCTCCAGACACGTCTCCTCGATTGTGTTGAGGTGCTTGATCAACGAGCGGTTCAGGCAGCCATCGTGCGAGCCGTGACGCACAACGATCTCGATGATCTTCTGAAACTCGAACGGACTAATACTGAAACAGTCGAGCACCCACGGAAACTTCAGCTCTGTCTTGTAAGCTTCCAGCACCAGCTCCACGCAGCAGGCCATCAACGTGATGTTAAATATGACCAGTGAAATCTTCTGCACCAGCAGTCGCTTGAGATCAAAGTCGGGCTTGTTGCTGATTTCCGCCTGCAGGATCTTGTCGAGCAGGTAGAAGTAAAAGGACTTGGCTAGTCGGAAGCGACTCCTCGCCTCCGGAGACGGATACTTGGCGAGGAATTTCTGCTTAATCTCCTCGATGATATTTAGCAGCTTGGCGATCACCTCTTCCCCTGCTTTCCTGTAGAGAAAAATGACCAGATTACAAACTGTGCTATAGCAATTAATCTAAAAGAGAGCCGCAAGTTTTTATAAAAATGGGGTTTCTCTACAGCTTGGGCAGATAAAACAAATAAAGAAATTTGATACAATAAATACGAGATCCCAACGAAAATTCTATTCAACTCGTAACCCGAGACCCGTTTTGCTTACTTGACGAAGTCGGTGGGCTCGGTGATCCGTCCGATAGCGGACAACTGCTTTACGTTGTTGGTGGCATTGCGGACGGGCTCGAATTTGTCGCCGGCCATCGCCGGCTGGGCGGGAAGGTCCTGCTTGCGAGTGAGTGGAGTGACCGGCGGACGCAAGGCCTGGTCATTAAGGCCAGTGTGGTCGCCGGCATCGTAGGCACTCAGGATGCGCTCATCAAACTCGCCCACACTCAGGACATACTGCTCGTAGCTAATGTTGAGCGACTTGAGGTTGCGCTCGAAGTTCTCGTTGGCCAGCAGACCCAGCATTGTTGCCTTGTCGCCATAGATGGTCTGTTTGAAATGAAAAGCCGGGTATTTACATTTACATGGAGCACAGAGACCACTTTGGAAACCTACCGAAGTCTGAAAGAAGCTCGTCATGATCTCGCGAAAGGTGGTGGCCTTCATGGCCTCGGCCTCCTCGGTCATGTCGCAGAAGTAGACCAGAATACAGTGCTGCTTCTGGCAGAAGTCCAGCTCCGTCCAGTTGCTTGGCAGGCCCTCGAACTTAGGGTTGATGAGATCGGTGCGCTTTTCGGCTAGCACATTGTTGTAAATCAAATCAATGCAGCAGATCATCAGGTTGAAGGAGGTGACCAGGTCCACAGTGTTACTGGGCTTCTGGTTCTTGGCGCAGAGGAACAAACGCCAGCAGATGTCGTCCAGCTTGATGTAGGAGCACTTGCCGTGGGCATGGTTGCCATGGAGGGAGCTGTTAATGAAAGGATTTAGGTTTAGATTAACAAGTCTCTGGTTCACGGCATCACGACACGCACATGTACTTGGAGTGCTTCTTCTCGTTGGGCGGACACGAAAATATCATGTCGAAAATGGTGCGGTAGCGCTTGTACAGCGTGAATGTGATGCTGAACTTGCGATCCAGAACCTCGATCTCGTTGACGAACTCCTGCGGCAGGTTGGCCATGTCGCACCACAGCTTGATCTTGGTCTTGAAGTCGTAGATGCTGGGAGATGACAAATGAGAGATTTGTTAGAACCGAATGCTACCGGATGCACGTTGGAACCCACCCCATTTGGCAACAACGCAGAAGATTGTTCAAGGACACACAGTTGCCCCTGACCACCGCATCATGACCACCCACTGTAGGGGTGCTGGATCTTCGGCAGGCAGCATACAGGGCGCAGCACAGCCAGTGGTTGGCATCGCCCTAAAATGCAGAGGTGGCGGTTAGTTTGGGGGGCATGCCGCGGGGCTCTGCTTGCAACTCACCTCTAAGGAGCACCTCTGGGACACTTCAAGGTACATCTTGTAGGCCTGAATCTCCGTTTGGTGATCCATGTTCACTTTTTGACACAGACTTGTGAACTTGGCCTTAGTTAACTCCTGGCTATCGTCGCTGGTTGCCACAGATCCGCTGACCACCTCGGCGCCCAGCTCCTGCGGCTCCGACTCGCTCATCCTGCGGACGTAGCGTTTGTCCGGGGAATAATCCTGATTTTCCGGCTGCTTCCGTCAGCAGCCTGGAAACGGGAGGCGTGGCTGTGGGCGGAGGGGGGTTGCAAACCGGAATGGACTGCTGGGGTTTGTGCTCACGCAGGACTTTGGGCTGACTTTTAGACGAACTGTGGGCGAGCGTTACGATTCCTTGTTCGCTCCTCACGGACATGCAACTTTTTAACTAAATTTTTACTATATGTCTCGCCATAGAAAAAGGCGGGAAAGCGGCGAGGGTTGCCAGTCGGGCGCGACAACAGGCAATTTACCCGCGGAGTTTTCCCTTTTCTGCAGCCGTGATTCTTTTGCTCAGAGTTGCCAATATCCCTCGATATCGTCCACCGAGGGTAAGCACTTTTCACTGTCTTATATTCGCTTTTATCACTTGGCGAATCGCAATTCCTCCTCGACGTGTTCCTGGTTCTGCAAAGTCTGGCAACTCTGCCGCAGCACACCCAGCTGGGCAACAGTGTTGGTCAACAGGGTTATTGTTATCGCTCATCGATAATTTCAAATTTAAATATTGTGGATTTATCAATCAAAATTTATAATTAAGAAACTGTGTTTTAAGGCTCTTTCTGAATGGTAAATAGTACACAATTTCATTTGCTCCTACTGACCCACAATCGATGACTTATTCTGACCTTTGCTCAACAAATCGCAGAGCGACTGTATTCTTTCTTACGGACACTTTCTCTTTTTAAACGAATTTAAAATTAAGGAAATATTAAATATAAACTCCCAAAGCTCCCTCAAAACAGCTCAGAACGTTGGTAACCTATGACTATCTTTATATATTATATTATATTTGGGTACACAAAAAAAAAATTAGTCTAGAATGGAAGCCTTTGTCAGAAGTTGCTCGGTTCCATTGCGGGAACTATTCTTTTGGTATATAAGTGGAATGCAACAGTTTCTCTCGCTGACTCCAGGGATCACTCTTGCCAGTCGCCGATAACTTGGGAGGAGGGCACCAGCTCGAAACGTGCGTTGGCCAGATGCGGGGGCACACCAAATCTGGAGGGGCACGTCAAAGTCCAAAAATCAACAGGGTGTGGTCAATGTGATCGATTTTGTTTTGTTACCTGGGTCGGAAGAACGGAGCCCGATGGCCAGATGCCCTCGAAATAGCCGGAGGAGCTGCCGCTTCTTCTGCTTTGGGCTTGACTTCGGGCTTGACCAAGTGCCGGACCGGCGAGGTGTCCGCATCCACGCTGTCTAGGGTGTTTCTCACCACGTATTGCGAGAGGGGATTCGATTGCGGCCTCTGGCGAACCACTGGCATAGACATAAAGCGGAAAAGGCGCGGAGCGATTTGCTCATCCGTTACTCCGTCGGTGGTCATGTTGTCTTCAGTATCTCCGGGAGAATTTCCAGCCTCCGCGGCACCGGCTCCGGTTTCGGCGGGCGGAGTAAACACTGCAGCCAGACGGACTGGCACAAAAGCCGGTAGCCTGACAGTGATGGGAGATCCGGAAGGCAGCGGCGGAGTGGACGGAAGATCCGGACCAGGGAGGGAAACGGGTATGGGAATGGGTCGTGGAGGGGGGCTGAAAGTGCTGGTGGAGGAGGAGGAGGTGGTGGCCTCTGACTGGTGGTTTCCGGTGGCGGAATGGCCGGTTTAGTGGCAGACTCCTGCTCCACCTCCTTCCAGGCCTCCAGCAATGTCAGCAGCTCATCCTTGCTCATGTGGCCCAGGCCAACGGGATTGTAGGCCCACCCGCCCACTCCACTTACTCCAAGTCCACCACTCACTCCAAATCCCCCGCCCACACTATTCCAGCCCAGGGGCGGCAGGCTTTCTACGTGCGGCAAGTCAAGGAGAGATCTTTGGGAACGCGCGGGGAGCGTCTGCTGACCATCTAGCCCATCGCACAGGATCTGGAGGATCAGAAGTGTCAGCAGCTTCGCACCAAGTGACCCAACCATGACTAAGTTTCGACTGTACAGCCTCTGGGCGGAGCACTCTTATATATGTATCTTTCACGTTCCATCGGAGAGAGGAAGAAGACCAAATGCAACAAAACGGAAGTGCCTGTATTTGATGGCGGGTGAACCGATACACGAAAAGAAAATAGGTTTTATTTAATCCTGCATTGGATTACTTTTCACAAACTAAATACAAATTGTTAGAATGAATTATTAGGATTTCGTACGATTGTAAATGTGATTATTGAGAAAAAAATTATAAAGGCAGCTGGTAGCTTGCTAAACTAATATTCAAAAGAATATGATTTTGAATATTTTTTTCCAGTGAACAAAACATACCTCCCCGCAGCGATGGTCACTCTAAATGCACACGCACCTCCAAGTACAGGTAATTAAATTGCCTAGCCTGAAAGTCCCTGCTCAAAGTCCGGTTTCGCGGGCGAACCACTTTTCCTTTTCGGGCCAAGCCTGGGTGTGGAAAACTATAGATGTGGATGGCTCGTCGGATAAAACCCGTCGGACCCACTTTGGTCACCGACTTCTGAGCGGTCCACTATCGAGGAAGCATCTGATCATTGCGTTTGGCCGAGGCGCACTTCCTATATCCGCAGCAGCAGATTTGGAGCGAGTTGCGCAATTGTCTGCAGCAGACGAGGCTCGGAAGTTAGTGCGATCCGACCAGAATTTCAGTTGTTTTTTATTAATCAATCAGACATTTAGCGAATTTCCCCCTTAAATGTATCTCAATTGATCTGGTTTTGGGCTAGTTAAGAAATCAATTTTTAAATAAACACAAATGTTTACTATATTCAATGCATATTTTTAAGGAGTTGGACCACAAACATTTTGAGGTACATATGCCAGTTCAAAATGCGACTTGATTTTGGATGACTTCTTGTTGCAGTAAAAACCGGAAATGCGCTTATTAAAGTTATGAAAAAAATCTGTCTTATTATAAAAGATAATTTAAATTAAATTTTAGTTTAAATTAAATCTTTTAGAGGTATCCCACTTTTGAAACAAATTTAAATAAGTTATGTTATGGACTACAAAAGTAAATTTGGATACCTTAAAAAATATCGAACGTAAAACGGGTTTGTTAAGCCCAACATTTGAAAACATGTTTACGGGATAAACTTTAGCATTCACTTTTGAGGAAATAGGAAACATAACAATTTAAAAATGTAACAAAATTTAAAAAAAACATATCGATATACAGGAAGAGCTGGTCCATCGATGAATCGGCTTGGACACCCCCTCAAGCACCCACCATTGCCCGCCCGATAGCGAATCGCGGCTGCCAATGTCGATTGTATTTTGTACTCAGTGACGTGGTTACAACAAACACCAACCGCATTCAGAGAAACCTCCAATCCGCCCGTTGCAACACAGTTTTCACCGCAAGCGATGACCAGCGAAGGAACCAGGGAATAATTCCGGGCAGACACCATTCAGCAACCGGGGGAGTCAAAGCGAAGGAGCACCCTGAGTCCAACTCCAGGAGCCACAGTGCGATCAGCTGAGTTGTGAAATCGAGGGAGATCTAAGACTAGGACTGGGACCCATTGACTCAAACTTCATCCGTTGGGTGAGACTGGGTTGGAACGGAGCCACATAGGAAGTGAGGGGCAAAGTGCCGCCGTGGCAAAAACGACAGAGATTCCATCCCGCTAGGAATCCTAACCAGGACCGGAGCCATGGCACTGCTCACGATGATAGCCAGAGTCATCGACGGTCTGCCCCTGGTGGGGACCATGCAGGATGACGAGCAGGTAGCCACCGTCGCTTTCTAGCTGGTTCCGCTTCCGCAACTCACGCACTTTCTCTTTCAGAGCGGTCGCAGTATACTGGACTATCAAAACCAGGCCAAGATGCTCTTTCGCAAGCTGGGCACTCATTCACCAGCACGCAGTAGCATCGAGACAGGACCCTACCTATTCCAGTAAGTGATCCCTAAACAAGGAGGGCGCCTTTCTGTCAATAACCTATCATTTCACGGCGCTCGTGCATTTTTATTTTTCATTTCATCATTTTCATTCATTCACCCCACAAGCTACATATGCGTTTTCTATTAGGGTTTTCTTAGAAAATAAATGAAATTCCCGACCCCAGATGATGCAATCTGCAGCTCAATTAAATGATTAATCCTTTTCCCTTGCAGCTATCTAATCGAAAACGATGTCTGTTACCTGGTGATGGTGGACAAGATGTACTCGAAGCGACTGGCCTTTAATTACCTGGAAGACCTAGCCCAGGAGTTCCATGCCAACTACGGTAGGCGGGTCAACTCGGTGACGCGGCCCTACGCATTCATTGAGTTCGACGTGTACATTCAGAAGGCGAAAAAGCAGTTGACGGACCGGAGGCGCAACATCAGCAGCATTAACACACAGCTGCAGGATGTGCAGCGGATCATGGTGCAAAACATTGACGATGTGCTCCAACGTGGCACAGTGCTGGCGGGTAACTATCAGATAAGATATACCATATTCAGATTGTTTCCTATCCTATTGCTGATTTCTTGTCTGGGATCGATGGGCCATAAAGTCATGTCTAATGGTTATTTGTTTTTGCTTTCAGAACTCGACACCAAGACCCAGAACCTGTCAATGATGTCGCAAAAGTACAAGAAGGACGCCAAGCTGCTCAACCGCAAGTCCATGTACGTGAAGGCGGCGGCCGCGGGCATCATATTCCTAGTGTTCATCCTGTACTTCTGGGTTCTGTAATATTCGCTTGCAGCTCAAGCCCACTGTCTGGCCCTTGGCCACATGGAGCGGTGCGTTCTTAGTCAAATGTCGAGCGTCAAAGACGCAAGGCCGAAAGACATTTGGATAACGCGTAGACCTGTACCCCAGAATATACACACACACACACTAACTGCGCACCCATATATGATTCACAATCAGGCGAAAAACCGAGAAACAAAACACCTTTCGACAAGCGCCCTGCTTCCGAGGCTTGTTATACTTCTAATTTTAACTTACCCCTGTCGTTGTTAACTGTCTTGAATTCCATTAACTATTAACTCCCGGCCCCACGGGTCTTTCATTACATTTCTTTTCACCTTGCTCCCTCTGATTATTGCGCAGGTTTTCTGCATTTTTGATTACGATTCGAGTTTTGTTTAGGCCCTTAGACCTTTGCGCCAAGTCCTGCGGCGCCGATCCTAATCTGTAAATCCGTGTGTTTGTGTATAAATATGTATCTAGATTGTAGATGAAATTGCTGTGCCGATAGGATTGTCTGCATAGCGAATCCGGCCGTGGTGATTGAAACAAACTGCAAAAGCATAGCAAGAAAAACGAAAAATAAGACAAGAAAATAAAATAAAGAAATGATAACAGTTTTAGGCAATTTATATGTATAAAATTAAGGCAAATTACAATGTTTAATAAATGGGCAAAAAACCGTGCGCTCTCTAAATGAATGCTGCAATACCCAAAATCTGAAAGATTGAAGTCGACAGTTTGTTTTTGGTTTATTTTTAATAGATAATTTTCCTTTATATATATTTATATATATATTTCGTTTCACTGGAGTGTGATACATTCGCCTATATAGTTTATATTCGCTTGCAAGCCTTCGATTTTCGATTCTTTCCAATGAGATGCTCGGTTCTCTCGTTTAGTTTCTGTTTTCGTTGCGTCTCGGCGCATATAAATTTGTAATATCAAATCTTTACAATTAGGAAAAAAATGCGCTTCTAGCATTTACACTGTTAAATCGTTAATTTGGTGTGTATAAATTTTGTTAAATATCGAATCCGAATCCATGTATACGCTTTCAATATACCTCTATATATATATAAATGTATATGTATGTATATATGAATGCATATGCTTTTTTTTTGGGGAGTGTAAAAAAGTGGAAAATAATTTATCGGGGCGAGTGTTGGTTTACTTAATTTTTGGTATAAGATTTCTGCTGAAGCTCTGGCGAATGAATTTTGGTTCCACATCTAGACACGGAACAGGCTTAAAACTTTTTAAAAATAAATGTTTGGGGTCGGTAAATTCGCTAATTGAGCGGAAGCGGAAACCATACGAATCAAGGCGTACCTATGAATAGATGGGATGCTTGGTTATAATGCTCGTCCTGCACTGGGCTTGAAAAATCCTTTAGAAAATATTTGTTTTTTGTTTTCAATTAGTTTCTGCTAATGCTAGTTCGCTTGTTTTTAGCTTCGTTTTGTTTGGTTTTCTCGTTCTTGGCTCCGACATCTACAAATTTAAAAGGCAGTTTCGCGCATGGAGGGACAATTACAAATTGAGATTCATTACAAAGCATCGAAGAGCAAGAACACTCGAATATAACATTCCTACAGGTATGTTTGCTTGTTTGTTGGTTGGTTAACAAAAAAAAAAATAAATATAAGACAAGAACAATTCAAGTTCTGTTTTCAGTTTTGTTCGCGTACCTCTTACAACTTGGAGTACGCTGGGCTTAGGACTATTAAAAAAAAGTAAATATCTCATATATGTATATACTATATATACATATATGCCCGCTGCTGCTGTGTACAAATTAAGTTTAGAGTACCATTGTTAGCTTAATAAAGAACTTTAGTGTGTGGTGCGCAAGGAGAATAAGGTCCATCCCAGGCCGCTTAAGCTACGTCGCCTATAGCTATCCATCCGTTCTCGTTCTCGCAACCTATCATTATCTTGACTCTCTAGCATTAGGTGTATATTTGTAGCCGCTAGGCTGGTGCATATGTATCTGTTAAGTCGTATATGTCTGGTGTTCAGCTGTGATCCTCTTTTATGTACAATGATCCTCCCTCTCTTTTTTCCGTCCATGAGGGCAATGCCCATCATATAGGTAATCCTCCAATCAGCGATCCCTCCTCTTCGATTCTCCTCTCCTCTACTTGATCCTCTGATGATCCGGCGTGCTCTTCAGTATGTCCGGCTGGTGGTGTTGCTGGTGATGGTGGTGCGGATGGTGTCCAGAGCTCAGGGTGCCCGGCTGACTTCCTCCGCCCGCGTGGTGAGAACTGCTCAGCGTGTGCGAGTGGTTCGAGTTGAGAGTGTGCGTGGCGTGAGAATTGAGCGTGTTGTGGGCCGTGGTGGTGGCGTTTGTGGAGAACCCGGTGGCCACCGCCGATCCACCGCCCAAAGTCGGACGTTGGGAAGCTCTCAGCGAGCGATGCGAGCCATTCCGAGTTAGGGAGTTCATCTGCGGAGTGCCGGGGACCGTGTGTCCCAGAGCGTTCATGTAGTCGGCAATGAGCAGCGTGATCTCCAAGATCTTGGGCTTGCTCATGGCAAACAGAAGCTTCTGCTCACAGCCACCGCCATCGTCGAGGGAAACCACTAGCATAAAGTCGTCCTGACAGCCGCCAAAGGTCATCACGGAGCTGTAGGGATACCTGGCCACCGGCGCCATTGTGGACAGCTCGAGCACATTGAGGGCATCTTCCGCCACCGCTAGCCAGGCAACCGGAGAAGTGCCCGCCGCGCTGTTGGACTCCGGACTCTGGCGGGGCTTCGCCTGGAACAGACAGGCGCCGAAATACGGCCACTTCCGGCAGCAGGTGAGGTAAATGCGCACACAGTCCAGGGTAGAGCGTCCCTTGAGCAGCATCCACTTGGAGACCAGTAGCTCCTGCACGTCCTTCAACTGCTCGGCTCCCAGTGCGTCCCTGTATCGGTACGGATAGAACTTGTCCAGCCCCTTAAGCCCCACGCCGACGTCTCGGGACTTCTCCAGCGAGTAGTCGCCCATGTCGATCTGCGACATCAGCGAGGCCAGCTCCAAGGCCAGTTCTCTGGACAGGGGGAATCTGCCCTGGACAATCTGTGAGTTCGTCTGGTAGCAGAGGAGCAGGCGCTCCTTGTCCGTTTCGCACTTGATGGTGTGCTTCCAGTAGAGACGGTTCTTGTAGCTCAGCTGGATCACTCGTGAGTTCTCAAACTTGCCCGATCCCTTCTCCCTCAGCGCCGTCTCCCACTTACTGATTACGTCGCACAGCTTGGCCAGCGGCTCCAGGTAGTGCTCCAAATCCTTCTCGATCGGATCGTCGCTGAACAGGCAGAACCCATTGGTGGCATCCCTCGTGCCAAGCTCGTGGGCCAGAGTGGCCTGGAACTCCTCGATGGTGGTGGAGCCATCAAAGGAAACCACCTGAAGGGGACCGGATTGTGATTGTAAAATTGATTGCACTTCCACCCCTACTACTTCCAATAACGTTGGGTTGCTCGGCTTACCTGGTAAGTGGTGTTCATCATGTGCACGGGTATCGCATGCGGCAGCGAGTGGTGGTACGGGTTCTTCAACAGAATCGACAAAACCTCCATCCGCGAGGGCTTCGTCTCGCGACCCCCGTTCTTTAGGGTCCTTTCCAAAGCCCGCTCACAGTAGGCGGCGTACTTGCCCGTCTCCGTCTTGGTGTCAGCGTTCCGGGACAAATGCAGCTTGAGGTACCAGAGAAGACGACTCGAGCGCGGGACAAAGAGCGACACGGCCAGCGCAAGGAGCTGCCAGCCCTGGACGAAGCTGTAGGCGGGCGGGTTGCTCTTGCAGTCGATTATGGGTGTGGCAGCAGGAGCCTACAGATTGTTATCATTCAGAGATCAGTTTGGAAATGAATCGATGTCGCGGGGGTTAAAAGTAATTAGTTAGTATAAGTGAGGTTAGGAGAGCTTTGACTACGTGACTACGGAAATCGAACGCAACTGTACTCGCACAACAAAGAATGTTACAGTACAGTACAGAAAAGTAGAGTGGTATTGTAAAACGGTTAGAGACCATAAATTTCCCCGCATACCTGTATGGAGGTGGGCGAACTGCCGTTGGCTTGGGCGTGGCCCGCCTGTTGGGTATCACAGGTGAACAGGCTTTGAGTGGCACACAACAGTAGTTGCTGTAAATTTCGGGTTCGGTCGTTCGTACAGTGTTGGAAAACATTACGGTTTCGGTTCGGTTCGGTTACACACGAAACACATTCAACGGAAACGCAACGTTCAAAACGCAACGCAAGGCAAAAAAAGATGGAGAAAAAAAAGAAAAAGCCAGAGAACATTTTCGGATCAATTTTTTACTCTTCATTAATTGGCGGTGTGATTTTTATTTGTTTGGTTGTTGATGTGTTTATCTGTTTTTTTGTTGGCAGTGTTTTGTAACGTTTTGTAACGCATCGTTATGTTCGTTAAAATGCGAAATGCAATGGATAACGAGAGACCAAGGCAAAGACAATAAGCACATTCAAAGCGAATAATAAGGATACTGAAGCAGCAAAACCATAACAACTCTAGAAATGGTTAAAAAATACAAACACAAGAGAGCAATATTTGCCAGTATTAATAGCCGGATTAGTGCTCGAAAATGTCATAAAGAAATATTGAGAGTTTAAAAAACACGGTTGTATTTAGTGTTATGCTTGATCTGTGTTCCAGTGGCTCACTGATATTGGTGATTTAGTGGTATATTTGTTTTTTCTTTTGGTTTTGTAAAATTTACAGCAAATACTTTTTACAATGAGCTGTTTAATTGTCTTTTTTATTATGAATAAATAGAGATACACATAGAGTTGTACAGTAACGTTTTGAAAGCTATATGTATATACAGAAACATTTCTGACAGTTATGGGGGAAATTTGTTGTCTGTTCGCTACTTAATGAAAACTCAAAACCAAACGGAGGTATTTCAACTGACCAAACTATACATAGTTAGATTAGGCAAGAGGTTAACTTAGGCTAGCATGCATACATATATTATATATATAGATGATACTATTGATAGTGTTCGGTATATATATGTTTGAAATGATTTAAGGTTAGCTTTGTATTGATATTTCGTGTAAAGCGTTCGTAAGCTTGTTCCTTAAGCAAAGCTCTTTTGGCTGGTAATGAACGCAAAGTAAATAATACCTATTTGGGAGCATGGGTGGTGACTTTATCTTCGGTACAGACTCTCTCTTGGGCTGTTCTTGCAAGTTGTTAGTGAGGATTAAGGGGGAGTTTCTACACCAAAAACAAGGACATTCAACTAAACATTTCCGGGGGATGCAGGTTAGGAAAGGGCGGACTTTCGGGGACATAAGAAGCTTTGCAACTAAAAAACTTACGCGCGTTTGCTTGCCCAGCTTCTTGTTTACCTGGACGCCGACACTGAGCTTTTGGCCCATGTGCCGGGAGGTCTGCTTGATCAGGATGCAGATCATCTCCGTCTGAAGCTCGGGCATGTCCAACGCATGCTGGAGCGCGTTCTGGGCGAGCACTACGTGGTAGTCGATGCCCGGCTGGTTGACCGCCACCGACATGAACAGCTGAATGCTCTGCAAGAAATATTGAGTGTTACACCGAACTCAAGTGCATCCAACTACCAAAGACCACTTGCCTTGAAGAGCTTAATTGCCTCCGGTTGCATGGTTTCCGTATGCATAGACGACAGCGGGGCCGTGATGGTGTCTTTGGTGTGCAATAGGATGGGGTGGCGCCACAGCACGCAGTCTGCAATTGGAGGAGTGAGTTTCACGGTTAGCTCGGCTAATATGAGAAAGAATTCTAGGACTCACTAGGATCGCCATCGGTCTCCATGAGCTTCTGGACGAGCTGTTCGTACTGCGTGCCAGCACTTGGACCGCCGCCAGAAACGACAGTCAGGTGATAGAGCCAGTTGTCCCGCTCAGGCTTGCCGGAAAGGATCAGGTAGGTTGGTCCCTGGTGCGCTGGATAGATGGCAACCGTGAGTCTAGCCTGATCCTGGGCGGCATCCTCCCGCTCCTCGGAATCCGAGTCGGAGACGTGTTCCACCTCCTCTACTCGAGCATCGCGCATATTTATCTGGCCCAATGGGTTCTACAATGGGATAACAAATCAGCATAATTAGCAGGACCTCACCATGGAATTCCTTCTGCCACTTACCGTTTCGGCCGGAGCCTTGAAGTAAAGGAACATCTTGCCCAGCAGCACACACCAGCACTTCTTGGGATGACCGTTCTTCACCTTGGTCACCCAGCCCTGCACCGTGGGCTTCTGGTCGTCGCGACTCAGCAGCAGCTTGGTGGCGTTCCTCCGCTGCACGTTCTGCAGCACCCGGATCCAGTCGTCCATGGTGGCGTGCGAGTCTGCCGTGAGGTAGTAGACCTTCTTGCCGGTGTCGATCTCGAAGGTGGAGGCGCCTTCCGCCCGGTTGATGCGGCAGGCCTCGTCCAGTAGGATTTGCCCCTGGGGCTTCCGCTGCAGGTCGTGCTGGCTCTTCCAGTAGTTAAGCGATCCGTTCTTCAGGACGAACCAGCGCTTGCGCCAGGTCTTCAGCTTGCCGCCCAGCTTGGCCAGGTGGCCCATCTGAAGCGAATAACGAAAAGAAATTGTAAGGAGTGGAATGGGGGTCTCTGGCAGGGAGTGAGTGTGTGATCACCCACCTTCTCCAGCGACTCAATCTTCTTGCTGGGCGAGTCCACGTAGGACTGGCGCATCAGCAGCGATGGCATCGAGGCGTCCATGCACGTCGACTCCGAGACGGCGTCGGGGGGCAGGGCGTAGTCGTCCGAGAGGCCTGATTCAAAGGAGAGATCTGAAATTACTGTGCCTCGCATGTGCTGGAGGAGGGGGGAGGGGGCGTTGACGGGACGGGGGCGTGGCAGCGTTATCTGCCCACTCGACGGCGCCACCGTGTACGGTCCCAATTGGTGGTTATGACTGTGGAGGTGGGGCAGAGTGTGGTGTTGGTGGTGTTGGTGGTGCGGTTGTTGTGGTTGTGGTTGTGGTTGGAGATGCTGGTTGATGTGACTGGAGGGCGTGGTGGTGGTGGAGACGCGTGGTTGGAGGTGGACTGCGGTGGATGGGTTAGAGGTTAACGGCGGTTATTTGGTTATTCGGTAGGCAATGGTTGGTTGATGAACAAAAGTGGTTAGTTTCGCAAGTTGTTAGAGCACACAATTAGTATCTTTGATCATTGTGGTTACGGTCTTCTAGGTGGAGCAGAGGTAATAAGTTCTAGTACGGATGCGGGATGCATTGGAGAACCAATGGGGGAGTACATTAAAAAAAAAAAAAAAAACATAATCAACTGAATTTTTAGTTTACTAAAATAGAATTAAGGTCGCCAATTTGGATTAAGGAATTAGTTGGTGCTCGGTGTTCGGTTAGATTGAGTTCGAAGCCTGCATGGTCCTAAGGAGCAACAGACTAATCGGTCTACACTACGCCAGGCGGGTAATCTGCAAGGGTCTTGAGGCAAAGTCAATACTCATGGTACGTACCTCGCGCCTTGGCGTTCTTGGGGCTCTCCGAGCCACTCCGCTTGGCCGGACTCAGGCTGGATGAGGTCTTCAGGCTCTTCGAGGGACTCGAGGCGCTGCCGGAGGTGGAGGTCTCCGTGTTGTCCGTGCTCGAGGAGTTGTGCGAGTGGTGGGTGAGCATCACCGCGTGGTCCTCGCCGTCACTGGAGTCGTCGCTCGAGTCGCCCGTGAACGGCATCGAGCGGATCTGCGAGGCTCGACCTTTGACCGTTGCGTAGACGGGCACGGATATATCACAGAAGCCGCCGCTGGCGGTTTGTTGCTGCCTCGACGGTGGCAGCGGGGTTCCCGGCGTACTGCCCAGCGTGCCGTGTCCATCTCCGGATGCATGGCTATGACCATGCCGTCGGCCGTTGGAGAGATTGGTTCCCGCTCCCGCTCCCGCTCCCGTTGCCATTCCAGTTCCAGCTGCAGTTCCCTCCTGGATGTCCGGCTCTTGGCTGGCCGTACTTTCGGCGGTACTGGCTCCCGTTCCCGCTCCGGCCAGTCCGTCGTTGGCCACCTGATAGATCTTGGCCTCCCAGCTGGGGAACCGATGCAGCGGCGGTGTAGGTGGGCGTGGCACGCCCAGTTCACTAGTCGTCGTGGTGGTCGTGCTGGAGTTACCGCCACTGGCCATCAGGGCCGGGTTGTTCTTCATCCAGGCGGGCAGCTTCTCGCAAGACGGCGTGTAGATCTCCGCATAGTCGTGGGCGGTGTCCGTATCGGAGCTATCTGGCCTGGGAACGCCCCCGGCTCCCGTGGAGCCTCCTCTGCCGCCGGGTGCCTTGCTGGAGATGCTGGACAGAGGCGCAAGGGTCAGGCCGTCCACCGCTGCCACCAGGTTTCTCTCCAGCTCCTGCGGCTCCATCGAGAGGTTTCGCCGGTGCTGGTGGTGTGGATAGGAGCTGGTCAGGGGTCGGCCGATGATCTCCTGGGGATCAAGGCTCTCGCTCCTCCTCCGATGCTCGGGATTCGAGCCCGAGCCGGTGAAGTCCTGAACGTCTAGACTGAGGCTGTTTCGCACAGGACCAACTATGCTGTGCCGCTGCGACTGGTTGGCTATGTGGTTCTTGAGCAGCTCCAACTGCTGGTTGCACTTGACGTTCTGCTCGCGCAGCAGCTGGTTTTGTTCCTCGAGATCGCGCAGCTTGTTGTTCACCCACTCCTTGATCTTGGCGGCCTTGGCCTCGATTTGCCGGGCGTCGTGCAGGCGCAGCTGTCTCTGCTCCTCCACCTGAATCTCCAACGAGGTGATGGTCTTCTCCGCTTCCTGGATGGGCGGGGCACCTGATCCGGCCGACGCTGCTGATCCCGTGGAGCCGCCTATCTGATGACTCGGCGAGCTGTTGCTTCTGGCCTGCTGCTCCTGCGGATGGTTGGCTCCTGCCTGATGCGGATGCGGATGGGGATGCGGATGCTGGGACTGTTGGGGCGGCTGCTTGGGCCACTCACTCAGCCGTTGCTCCATGGCACGCACCTAAGAAGAAAATTAGATAAGATGGAATGAGAAAACGGCTACTACGGCGAGGGAGTTCTCCCCAGCCCGAATTAAAATTTAATTAAATTCACACTAAGCCACGACAATGTTCAGGGCAACCCCGCCGCGGGATTAGCTGTGAAGGTAGGTAGTGAAGCAGGCAGACAGGATGGGGAGTCCTGCAGGAGCACTGCTAGAATATGTTTTCTTAACTGGCCAAGGCAGCAAGACAATTGGAGCCCTTCTCAAAATAGTACGAATGGATTGTGGTTTTTATTAAACTGTTTCATAATCAATGTTGCAATCGTTGCAGGCATCGCATTTGATTTAAATATTTTCTTGCCTGGCTACTGGCTATTGGAAGTGAGCTCAACTTGATGCTTCTGTGGCTTAAAGGTTTGCGAGGTAATTCTGTAATTAAGACCGAGGCAATCATTTAACACCCCACCGCAACGCCACTGAGAATAGCAGTGGCTGTGTACGCGAAGTGGTCAAGGAATGTACTTGCCACATGCCATCGCGCCAGGAAATAAGTATTTTTATGGGTACACAACAATTTGCAAGTAATGCAACTGCCAGTGGAGCTGAGGGTGGCCAGAAGGCCACCAAGAAGGGAAAGGCCAGAAGGGAAACAGGCAAGAAATAACTTTATTTGGCACGCCAGGAAACCGAACTGACAACTAAACAAAGCTTCCGGCTACTTGGGGGCAGGGTTCACAGGGCCAAGAAGTGCCACTGTGGCACTGTGGAATGAGGACCATTCTGACTGGGGAGGCCGTGCAGCAAAAGAGGCAATCGAAGCGAGGATAAAGGAGGCAGATGGGTAGTGCACAGCTCTCAGCACAGCAGAGGTAGCGAAAATCACAAGAGGAAATAGAAAAATTGGATCTCCCTGCCTTAAATGGAGTGCTGTTAACAGCAGAATCGCCCCTTCGGTTCGCCTCCTTCTTTTGTGGCAACCGTGTCGGCACCTATTGCACTATTAGTTGTCAGCCAGGATGTGTACCCCAAATGGGTCAATTGCCTGGCATTAGGCAATCCTGCCGAGGGTTAAGGGAGGTGTGTTAGGTTTGGCTTTAAAGAGCAGATGGCAGCGGGAACTTAATCGGGGTCCTTGCCGCATGCCATGCATTTAAAAATAGATATCCGTCGAAAATAGGCAGCCTTAAAATGAGGAGTGTAGAACCACCTCCTGGAATAACTTATCCCTTGTTAAAGTCGCAAATAAAACGCCAAAGTTTAGGTCCCTTATTACATTAACTGTCCGCTTACTTCTTATGTAGTAAGATACGATATGTGCACCAGCTTAGATTCGCGAAATCAACTACAGCAAGAGTTATGGATATGCAAAGTACTCGTATAAAAAAAGCTGACTCTGAACAATTCCGATGAGAAAAGCAGCGGCAAAAGAAGGATAAATAACAAAGTCTAGCCAAAAGACGTAGACGGCATTTCCTTGGATAGCCTGGACGAATCAAAAAGGCGAAATCAGAAACCGGAGATCAACTTTCGGAAAACTTGAGCCATAAAATCTGGCTGCGCCTAAACCGCCAAAACTAAAACTCTTTACGTAGGCTGGAACGGTGAGGGGAAAAGCCCGTTGGCAATGGCTATATTTAATGGTTCAAGCTGCAAAGTTCAGATGGGGAAAACTTGTGCATTGGGCGGCTGCTCCATTCATCAAGTGAATTGCCTGCATTTAGGCGTGTGAAACTTTGAGCCCCCGAAACAAACAAAGAACAAATCGGAATCGCCAAGGCAACGGAGGAGAGACGCTAAGACAGTAAGTTGACTTTATCTAAATGCGTTTTCTGGATTTGCAGACGCAGCTGCTTGGGAATCCATTGGTATCTCAGTCCTGTCAGCCAGACAGCCAAATCCCGGCAATTTTCGTTATTGGATTTGCGATCTGTAAGAGGGTGGCGCATGCCAGACAGTTCAATGGGGTGTGGGAAATAGGAGAGCCACTTCTGGGATGTGGAAATAATGAAGCACCCCGGCGGCCTGTTCCAACACGAATTTCCGTAGTCCATGGCTCGTATGGAAATTAGCATTACTGGTCCGCTGGTGTTGGAAACGTGGTTAAAACAATTTTGAATTTATAGTTTTTGCATTCGTGTCCGAGCAGCAAAAAGGGGAAGCTTGCAGCTGTCGCCAGAAGCGAAGAAAACGAATTTGATGCCATTGCAAAGTGACAGTTTCATTGCTCACTGCACACAGGGCATAGCCTTTAACAAATGGTGCAGTTTCTGTCACTTAACATAAATCGCACACATTGCCGTAGTTCTCTTCTAAGGAAATGCATAATATAGAAGATAAAGCGAAATCCCCGATAATAATTTGCCACGACGCACAATCGGATTATGCCAGACTGAGAAATCTCCAAACGGCGAAGAGGGTGGAAAATGCCAGAAAAACGCGCTCAATAAATAAATTCCACAAGCTGAGGACTATAAAAAGATGAATGAATAATCGAGCATTTGAATAAAATTTGAATTGAATTTGGTGTGCAACGTAGAGTGAATTCTCTCCAGTCCTTGCTATATATATATTTTCATATATATTTAGTATGTATGTATATAATGGCACCACTACTTCTCTGGCCAAGCATGCATCCTGCTTTTATGACTAAATGAGCAGACGCAATTAAGTGGGGTTGGGCGATCGATGTGGGGTTTTCTGGGGGTTATCCTCTGGTAGTCAGCAGATGACTAACGACACCCGGTTATTGTGGTTGGTCTGAAAGAAAGCGGGAAGAGGAAGCGGAGGTGCCACTCTGTGGTGACTCACTTCACGGCTAAAAGGGTTCCGAATAGTGCAGCCCCTCTGCACAGATGATTAATCTGTTTATAATGAAGACCACTGCGGCTTCTGCCTGGAAGCTGTGCCTGCTAAATGGGCTTTGAGTTGATGATGATATAATGACTCTGCCATGAATATATGAGCCCAAGTATATGCTTTATATCAGCACAGTACATAATGCTTTTACGCCCGGGCAATTTGCTAATATTTCTAGAAAGTCCAAAACAGGGGCCACTTCTTTCTGCTTTTCTGCTTACATCCCTGCCACACAAACTGAAATTGAGAAAAATTAATTTTATTCGCATTCCCTGCGTTTCTTTGACTTCTTGGGCAAACAGCCTCCTGCTCCGACCTCAACCTTCTTTTTTTTTCTGCGACGTTTAATTTGGAGTCATGATTTCATTGTTATTTATAGTCAACAAAGCGGCAGCCGCTCGAGAAAAACAAGAGCATGAAAATGGAGGGGGAAAACAGCAGAACCACTCAAGAAAACACTCCATAAAACATTGTAGCCGCCCCTCGTTTCTCGAAAATATGAGAGGGAAAATCTCCATCTTCCATCTTGCATCGCCCTTCCTCGGCACGCGCCATCTCCTTCCTATTCTTATGCTGCTTCGGTCGTCCCACAGTCTGGGAGAACTGCCACTTATCTGTTACATGGTATTATATATGGTAGATGGTACATGGTACATGGTATCTGGTATAAGGTATCTGGTATCTGGTATCCCCCATTCCAGGAACTCCCCCAATATCAGGGGATATCGTTAACTGCAGCGCATTCGAATATCTTTATTTCCAGACGTCGTCTTTGGTCTCGGAATGTTTGGCGCAGACAGGGTACGGTTTCCTTTGGAGAAGGGGAAGCCCAAACGACAAATTGATTTCAAGTTTACAAAGCTATGAGGGGGAAATCGGGGGAAACCGCATTTAAAACAAGGAATATCTGGAGAGATATATCAATACCACATTTCTAGATATTGTTAGGCGTTGGACAAAACCTAATCCTAACAAGGATTAACTCTGCTCTTCAGCACATTCAGTACCTGTTTCGGTTGCCTTTACTCCTTAGATAATCGTTTACATCGGTTATCCTCTTTGCCGGGGAATGCTCTATTGGCGCTGGGAAATCGCTCAACCCTTACCTCCCCCAAGGCTTTTCTTGCGAAGGGTGAGAGTCTGCTGTGAATGATTTTCCCATTACAGTCAATGTCAATATTTGCTGCATGTTTTGGCAGCTTTGAAATTGAAAATGTTCATGTTTCATATTATCCCGGAACGTGGTTACATGGCAACTCCATAATGCTCGGCATCCTTTTGGCCCGGCTGCGCTTTAACTCGCCCCCCAAACTCCTCTCTGTCCAGCTGCTCCCTCAACTGCTTCGTCATGCAACAAAAATTAAAAATCCACATAGATAGAGGAGCTTAGGTACGTGATCCCGAATGGAAAATACCTGCAGTTCTATTACTAACATTCGGTTTTCAGCACTTTAATTTAATTTTTATTTAAAGTTGATCGAACGATTAGGCGTTTGAATAGTCGTAGTTAAAGTGTCATTCGGTGTGCCTATTGCATATACCCAATGTTACCCAAGATTACTTGGCAAAAACAGGAAAATGCTCCACGAACGGTGATGTCTGTGTTTCCTATTAATTACAAGAGCCTCTCGTCTTTCCTTCACCCCGAAATGTAAGAGTTGCCCACTCTGTTGCGGCTCTTAAGAATGATTTCCCTTCAACGGAAGACAGCAAAACTAATTGACAACTAGGGCTATCCATTTCAACCTTCCACTCCAATCATTGCTTATGCATTATCCCAGTTATATATGATGAGGTCAACTGGGAGCCTCTTAAACTGATTTAAAATGCAGATACCTGCCTGCTATGCTTCAACTCCCTTTTGCCCCTTTTCAGAACGGCTTAACTTAATCAGTTTTGCAAGAAAGATGCAAGCAAAGTTTGCCACGCCAGCTGCCAGACAGTAAACTAAAACGAAAGTTTCGCGCTTCTGATAAAAGTTTGTCGCCTCCCAGGCCACCCTTTATTCATTTCTTCCGCTGAGTTTCCCTCTTGTTCACCGTTTGGCTTGCTGGGGCTTGATAATGCCAAGCAGTTATGGATAATGCATTAGCTTGTGGATTGTTCGTATTCATGAATCCCGGCAAGATTCCGGTGGGGCAATTAGGACTGAATATTAGTAG